ATTGTTTGTCACCTGTCTCTTCCCTACTAGATTATCAGCTTTAAGAGGGCAGAGTTTGTTCAGTGACATTGTTCCAACATTGGAGCAATGCCCAGTGCTAGAAACGTCTCAACAAGTATTTGCTGGATAAGTGAATGAATGAAACAGGCACTGTGTCAGACTCTGAAAAATCAGAGATATTGCATGTCCTCAAGGGAACTCACAGCCTAGTTGGAGGTATAAGCTGTGCAGCTTGTAACCTGACATGTAAATTGCAAGTAAACTTGGTAAAGCACAACATGTAAACTTGGTTTAAAAAAAAAACTACATGTAAACTTGGCAAAATACCAAATGAGAGAATGGAGTGCACAGGAGTACAGTTAGCACAAATGAGTATGAACTTATGTTACTTCCTGATGCCTGAAAGCTGGCCAGGCCAGCACCAGACCTGGCACTTCATAGATACCAGCTCAGTACTCCCCCAGAGCCCTCTGGAGAGGTTGGGGGAGGGTTACACAGAGGAAGGGAGACTTTGAGGCTAGGCAGAGGGGTCCACAAGTCCAAAGCCACATGGATGTGGAACTCTGCGTATTGTTGGAGGACTACATTAAGGATATGGTTTTTATAGGGGGAGGGGGCCTAGGGAGATGCAGCTGGCAGGGATGGCATTTGGTATGGCTGCTAAGTCCCTAACTGTTGGGCCTCAAGATGCCCATTTGCATCCATGCTCCCTCCTGCTTAGTGCCCTGCAGCAGGCTCTCATATGGACAATGTCTCACACCAGCATCCAATTCACAACCAGGTGGCTAGGACATCCATATGTCAAATGACTCACCGCTTTTTTTTTTTTTTTCCCAGGTAGACCAGAAGTCCACAGTACCCTTAGAACTCTGTTCTTAGAAGCCTTTCCCTCCATTCCACTTCTGACCTGCAATTTTGAGGTGTTGTCTATGCCACCTCTAACCCCCATTCTACAAACTGCACACGGTTTCATTTATTGCCTCCTTCTTGCCTTAATGTAAATAACGAAAATAACCTATGGCACAGAGCAGATGGGTTCTTTCTCAAGAAAGACCCAATTACTGAAGATCTAGTGCAAGGAAAAGTCATAAATATCCCAGTTTGCTGCAGTTGAGAGAAATTAACCACACACCAATTAAAGAAAACTGGTCTCCTGTGGAGGAAACATTCAAAGACCCTCAGTGCAGAACTCGGATAAGTCCATTGCCAGGTCGTGCATCACAGATGCCAGGGATGGGAGAGTTCAGGGTGCAGCCCTGGGTTCTTTCCTCTCACTTGGGGGGTGGGGGGGTGATGCCCATATACTTTGGAGAATATGGTAGAGAGCAAAGCTCTATCCATCAGATTCTACTTGTCATTTGGAAGAACTTTCACGGTGGAAGGGGTGTCTTGGAGCTGTAAGCTGTCTGTCAGTGGAGGAGTTCCAGCAGAGACTATTGGAGTATGTCTGCCCTGGAGGGGAAGCAAGGCTTTTGAGCACAGGTTAAAGGTACAGTGCTGGGAAGAGAAAGAAACAAAAGGCAGAGATGGATGTTGTTGGAACCATCTCCTTCCTGGTCTGGGGCTATCCCTTCTCACCCCTCAACTCTAACCGCCTTTAACCCACACTGTGATCTGTTTTCCATTGCTCCCAGCCTCCAAAGAAGATTCTAGAATCTTAGCTCTCAAAGATCCTGAAATCCAGGCCATTGCCTCAGCTGTGTGCATAGAGTATAGGGCTGAGACAATTTGAGTGCCCACTTAACTCAAAGAAAAGGCTTAAGCTTGGTGTGGTAGGCAAGGCAGAATCAGGAGGCCAGTCTGGGCTAATAGCTAGATCCTGAGAGAGAGAGAGAGAGAGAGAGAGAGAGAGAGAGAGAGAGATGAATCATGGCTCAGAGAATTCTAGAACAAGTACCTGGATCCCAGGGTGTAGAGACTACCATTTCCAAAGCACTTCTTCACAGGAAGAGTTCTCAAAACCACGCGAGACCTTCACTTTACATTAGGGCTGAAACACGGTAAGGTCTGTCCAAGGGCATCATGACTCCACTCCTCTCACCTATATTCCTGGTAACCTTTATTTTATTATTTATTTTTAGCGGTACTGGGGCTTGAACTCAGGGCCTTTACCCTGAGCCACTCCACCAGTCCTATTTTTGTGAAGGGTTTTTCGAGATAGGGTCTCCAGACTATTTCCCCTCCCCCACCCCGCCCAGGCTGGCTTCAAACCGCGATCCTCCGGATCTCTGCCTCCTTAGTAGCTGAGATTCCAGGCGTGAGCGTGAGCTACCGGCCCCTTGGCCTGGTAACCTTTGTTTGTAAGCAGGGAGCCCCTCAGTTAGGGAAGACCAAGTCCTGTCCCGGACCATCCCTCCTGGCCTCCCTACGTCATCTGACAGGGTGCCGAGGTGGGGTAGGGAAATCCCCCAGGGTCTTGACGCAGTCCTGAAGTCTGCAGCTACTCGCTGCTCCCACACCCTCAGGTGGGGAACAGGAAAGTGTCTGAGATGACAATGCCCTTTTTGAGTGGGTGGGTGTGAACACCGCCTGGAGAGAACCCAGAAGTGAGGCTAGAATAAGGGGTCTTAAGAGTGGGAAAAGGGGCCTGAGGTGCTGACACAGCGGAGGCGCCCAAGGCGCGTCCCTTCCCCGGGGTGTCCTTTGAAGCTTGGAGGGAGCTTTTTATTTGGGGTCTATGGGGTCAGATGGGCTGGGAGAGGGAGCAGAGAAGCCGTGCGTCCCCATGCCTCGTCCTTGGTACGGCCTCCTGCCCCGCTTCTGGGCATGGAGACGGTTTCCGGCAGTTGCAGGGGGCACCGGCTCCCGCCCCCCCACATGGCAGCTGTTCCCCAGCTGCCCGGCCCCACCCCAAAGACAGCTGGGAGAGAGGTGAGGGAGGGGTGCGCGCGGGCCCAGCTGCTGGCTTCGGGCTAGGCCGGGGGAGGGCCGCGACATGAAAAGAGCCGGGCCGGCAGGGGTGGCGGGCGGAGGAAACCCCCCGGCGGTGGCCTCCTCGTGGGCTCCACACATCTGGGCCACAGGAGCCGCCGCCCCTGGTTTGTGGGGTGGGGAGACGCAGTCGGCTCCCAGCCCTTCCGGGAAAGGGCAGGCGTGGTGGCCTCTGAAAGGAAGGGGAGGGCAGGGTGGAAGCGCAAGACGTGCACCTGTGGGGACCGAGCTGTCTGCCTGGCCTTCCAGATCAGCGTGGCAAAGGCTTCTGGGCTGCTTTACTGAATGGGCCTGTGTCCTGGGGCAACTCCAGCTCTTTCTGGGCCTCCTCTTCCTCTCACTCTTTGGGGAGGTCGGTGACAGCTGCTCCTACAAAGCCAGGGACAGCTGGGGAGCTGGGGACAGCTGGATGGAGTTAGCATCTCCCTGCTTCTCTGGCTACCCAAGCTGGCTGCTTCCCTACAGCTGTGTGCCTTGAGTGTGTAATTGTTTGGGGTGGGCTTCAAAAGCTGGGAGGTGGTGGGACCTAAGCCCCTCCTACCCCCAGCAGAATGCCTCCTCCATATCTGATTGCTGCGCCTTTAGAAATGGGGCAGCTTCCTGTCTTGGCTCCCAACTCTTGGCATGGAGGATGTCCCAGGGCTCCTGAGAAGCTGGAGGGACAGTGAGACAGAAACAGATGAGAGTGAGGTGTCTATTATACACACAAGCACCTGCCCCAGGCATTCTTCCACCCTGTGTTGGAGGGGCATGGTGCCCCAGATAAATCTGCCCCCTCCCTTTTTGCCTCAAACAGGTTCAGGGGCAGAGAAGGGGGCAACCAGCTGTTGTCCTATTGCTCTGGTTCTGGTTCCCTGCTAGCCTGGGGAAGAGGGGCAGTGAAACAAGGGTCCAACCTCCCAGCAAGAATCATCTTCTGCAGGACAGGAGGTGGGCGCACTCAGGAAGACTTCCACTTTGATCAGACCAGCCCAACAGGCCAGGGACAAAGCATGATCATTTCTCCCTGAAGTAAATCACTGAGGAGGGTGACTAGGGATCAGTGAGGCTTTGACAACTGGTAAGGTACTTAATTCACAGGTTCCCTGAATCCTCTCAAACTTTTCAAGAAAAGAGAAAGAGAATTAGGTACCTACAGAGGTATCACCCCCTACTAGTAATGGCAAGAGGACTTGGGTTCACTTAAGCACACAGAAGGCTGAGGCAGGAGGATTATGAGTTTGAGGTCAGCCTGGGCTACATAGTGAGACTATCTTGAACAAAGATCAGGATCTCTATAGAGGAGAGCCTTGGGGTGTCCCAGCCCCATCTGCCACTTGTTCCCCAAGAGTGCCTGTGACCTGCAGCAGGCAGAACCCTGGCCAGCCCCTAATGGCAGCACGTCTCATATTCAGGAGTGCATCATAATCACCAGACTTAGGATGTAAATTCCTGGGCTCTCAGCAATTTTCACTGAGTTGAAACTGGATTCCCAAGTCATGCTTAAGACTGAGAAACTGCCAAAGGGGGTGGAGGGCTGTAGTTTTCATCTTGCTTTCCCACCTCTGTTCCTTCCAGGATCAAAGCTCTGTCACCGAAGGAAGCAGAGCTGAATGGCTTCCCTGGGCCCTATATCGTCCCCCCCACCCCAGCTGCATTAAGTCCTAAGGGACAGGGACTGTTCTGCCTCTGCACTGTAGCCCTGGACAGTGCCTGGGACATGGCATGTGCTCACCAAGTCTTTGTGGCTGGAAGGAGGTAAACTTCACAAGACTCACAGGAACATGTTTCTCCTTCTGTCCTAGCTAAAAGCACAATGGCAGAATCTCAAAGTGATGCCTGGCCCATGGAGCATGGAGCTGGGCCTGGGAGACCTTCAGCAAGTATTTGTCAAATGAACCTGAGGTCAAGAGCAGATACAGTCAGTCAATGCCTAAGGAATTGGCATTCACAGGCCTGGATTAGTCTTGACCCAGGAGTGCAGAGTCAAGGAAGGAGCTTGTCTTTAGAGGGTCCCTTCTCACACCAATGCCTGAAGACCCCAAGCCTGCGGGTGTTGGAGGGAGGGGGCTAAGAGGCGAGGCAGGGAGTGGGACTGCGCCATCATGTTTATTAGAAGGTTGGATTTCAGTGTGTGCTCTAGACAGATTACAGAATAAATACCTGCGCCTTGAGAACAGGAAGTCCACAATTCATACAAAGTGCTCACTACAGGAAGTTGCTGTGTCAAAATCCAGACAAGGACCCAACTCAGGCAGCCCCTCCTCCTCCACTGACCTCAACAAGGGCTGTGCTATTGTTTTTTATTTTATTATTTCTTTTATTTCTCTTTATTATTAATATTATTATTTGCTTTTGCTGTGGTCACTATCATTGGCAAAGTTCCTTTCCTCCTTTTCCTGGACACAGGGCACCTGTCTTTGAAAGATTCCACTCTGAAGCTGAAGGTGCCAAAAGCTGCTTGAGAAGTGGCCTTTGAACTCCGTCTGGGAGGATGGTGAGGAGAAGGAAGCAGGAGAAATTATTCTTGGCTTAAAAAAAAAAAAAAGTCCCACAATCTATAGGTCATTCCTTACTCCATCAGTGATCAAAACTGCCCAACAGAAAAACAAGAGGGAGGAGAGACTGGCCAGTGGGCACTGGTCCTTCCTCCTGGGCCAGTGAGGAGGGTTGGAGTCTCCAAGGCTTCAGGGGAAACTGAAGCCCATTCCAGCAACTGAGGTTATAAAGAGGAAGTAGTAGAAAAAAAAAAAAAAAAAAAGGAGAGAGAGAACTTAAGTGCCTTGAGACACTTTCCCAACTCCAGGGCCACCTGTGGCCCCTACCCAGGTCAGCTCCCACTGGCACCTCCACGTCCAGGAGATTCATAATTAAAAAAAAAAAAAAAAAGAAGAAAATCAAAAACAAAGCTTCAAACAAAAACAAAATCCAAAAGGAAAAGCCCTGGGGGAGCGGAGTGAGAAGGGAGAGGCAGGAAGGTGCAAGGGCAGGTCTCTGGATGCATAACCCTAGCCGCTGGGGCTGGGGGAAGGGTCCTGCCTGGCGTTAGCTCGTCACGTAGTGTTTGGTGGACGGCTGCCCATACACCCTGTAGAAATCCTGGTGGCCAGGCTGCTGGGAGGCATCGAGCCAGTCTCTGACTGCCAGGCCAGGAAGGGACTGGGGGACGGAGGGTGTGGGCGGGAGAGGGTGTGAGTACTCCTGTGAGGGCACTGTCCAGGGGAAGTGGCCGGAGCGGGGGTAGGGCTGGTGGCCGCCATGGTTGGCCACGGAAGAACAGTAACAGTTGTCCACAGAACAGACGAGAATCTTGCGGCCGCCATACTGGGGGAGCATGGGCTGCTGGGCGGCAGAGCCATTGGGGTACTGCGATGGGGGAAACACAGGACTTGAGTGCACTGGTTGGGCGCCGCCCGGCAGGGCCACCAAGTGCTGCGTGGAGCTGCAGGGCCCCAGAGGCTGCCCAGACTGGCCCTCGCCGCTGGCTGTGCCCGCTGCCCCGTACTGGCTGCCCACAGGGCCCGATGATGTCTCCAGGAAACTGGCCTCAGGGAAGGCCGTTGAATGCTTGCGCTTTTCTGCCCCAGAGCTGTTCACGCCACATGGGTACAAGGGGACACTCTGCAGGAAGGGCACTGGTGTGCTGAACGGGCCTGTGAAAAGTTTGGGGCAAAAGTTGTCAAAGCTCCCAGCCCAAGCTACCCAGGTCTCCCTTCCCCAGGGGACCTTGCATCTCCGTGGGACCAACATACGACATCTTGGTCAGCGCTTACTTCTCCATTAGGCGGTAGAAACTATTACTCTGTTATTACAGCTGAAGAAACTGAGGCTTGGGTAGTAAAGCCACTTGCCATGGTCCATGGCTAGAAGTGGCAAAATCAGTATACCAGTCATCTAGGTAGGTCACGTCGCCTCTCAGAGGGAAGGTTCTGGCATTTACCCCTCCCCAAAGGGCTCTCTCCCTTCAGTGGTGGACCCCACCCTCACCTTCTAGCATCTTCCGTAACTGCTTCTCCTTCTTTGCCACTTCGTTCAGGAAGAGCTTGGAGTTCAGGTGGCCGATCTTAGGGGGAGAAAGGCTGCTACCCGTGCAGGTCTGGGTCCTGGGGGCAGTGGACGGGGGCATCTGCTGTGAGGAGGTATCACCAGTGAGCCCGCCCTACCTCCCTCCATGGGCCTGGCCCTCCCTGCCGTCCTCCAGATACATTTCCTTGAGGGCGGGGGACCACCTGCTCACCTGTCCATTAGGATTTTCACAGACTTGGTGTTCTGGAGGGAGAGAAAATGGTCAGTCAGTGGAAAAGGCAAGACAAAAGCTGCTCCATTCTCTTCTCTGCAGGCAGAGTCAACCCTTGGGTGGGCAAACAGCTGAATTTATTGAGTCCTCTGTAAGTGCTTTCTATGTATCCATTATTTTATTTACACAGCTACCTGGGCTACCTGGGGGGAGGGTGGGTCTATAGACCCTTAGACCTTTTATCTAAAGTTGCTAGGCCAGATGTGCTTTGGAATTTGGAATGTTCTAGACTTTAGAAGGGAACTATGTTACCTATACCATACATATCATCCCAGCAAGACACCACATTTCTGCAGCAACATGTTTATAAATTTTCTTACCAACTGAGATACAAAAAGATCATGAACTGCCTGACATCAGTTCTGGTCAATTTTTGCTATTGAATGAGTTGCCATTTCTGTTTCTGTTAGCTTTCAGAGTTTTAAAAAGTTTGGAATAATAAGCAGAGGATAACTATTATTAGCTCCATTTAATAGGTGAGGGAATAAGGCTCAGAAGGATTTGACTTGTCCAACATCACAACGTTAGGATGAGAAGGTGGGCAGATTCAAACCCGTGCAGGATGGCTCCAAAGTCAAGAGCATATGTGAGTGTGCTCTGGGGGACTGGTTGGGGAGCAGAGATTTGCAGAGTGGCCTCCGGCCCTGCGAGCCTACCTTCATGAAGCTGACATCTTCTGTTTTATCAAAGAGCAACTGCAGGGAGCCCAGCAGCTTCTTGGCCTCTTGCATGCGCTCCCCGAGGTGCAGCGCCTGCGCCGCGTTCTCACTGCAGAACTTGGCCTGGGCCTTGTCCAGGACCTCCACTGTTTGTCGCAGGTCCTCATCCAGCAGCTGGTGCAGCTTCTCATACTGCAGCCGCACTTCCTCCTTCAGCTGGCTCACTTTCTCCTTGGGTAGGGGATAAGAGAGGGTAAGCAGGTGAGCATTGGGACCTTGGGCTGCTGCTTCTACCCCGTCCCCTCCCAGATGCTGGAGTCTGGGACCCAGAGCCCACTGGCTCCGTGGGCAAGTTCCCCACTGGCAGCACTGGGTCTGTGCCAACCACCCCTACCAGTGAGGCTCATCCTCTGACAGTTCACTGAGTGACTGACAGAGGGCTCTGGCATAGAGCCACCCAACAGACCCTTCAGAAGGAAGTTGCCCGAAGCCCGGTTACCCCCACCATCTCTCCACACCCCCCTCCAAACTCCCCCTCCCCCCGCCCCACTGCCCCCAGGCTCAGGCTCCACTACCTCCACCAGACGCTTGTCTGACTCGAGCTTGTATAGCTGGTCCTCGATGTCCTGCTCTCGCTCCTCCAGCCGGTCCTGCTGCTTCATCAGCATCTTCTGCAGGGACAGGTGGGGTAGGAGTGTCAGAAGGGAATATTCTCCAATCTTACCAAGGGTGGCCTCCTTCCCTCTACATGACAAGACTTATCCTGGAGGTCCTTCCACCTAGATGACCTAAAACCTCTGCCACCAGCCCCACTCTGGCCCTTAGGCAACCCTAGGACCTTCTCAAAGCTACCAACCAGCCTGTGTTCTAGCACTTTCCAACACAGACTTATCCCAGCAATGCTACAGAGGTTCCTCACAGAAGAGGAAACTGAGGCCCAGAGAGTTTAAGTAATTTGTCCAAAATCATACCGCCAATAAGCAGAACAAACTCAGATGATCGGGCTAAAGGGTCTGTTCTTGCCCTTTTTAGTGATGGGTTTTCGAGATAGGATCTCACGAACTATTTGCCTGGGCTGGCTTCGAGCTGTGATCCTCCTGATCTCTGTCTCCTGAGTAGCTAGGGTGATAGGCATGAGCCACTAGTGCCTGGCTGTAGGGTCTGTTCTTATCCTAGCCAGGATACCTCTCCCTGGGGAGCAAAATCTTAGAGATAAAGGAGTACAGTGCGATGCAGAGGGTCCAATAACCATTCAAGGTCATATAGGTTCTCTGGTCCAGTTAAGATCTCACTTTATAGTTTCCTTACATTAGAGGGCAGTGAGCCAGTCACCTCTTCCCCTGCTCTTGAGGCTGAAAGCTAGGCCTCCAGTCCTAACTCCCTCAGCACCTTGGTGAGACCCAGGCTCTCCTAAAACCTGAAGCCAAACTACTGCCAGATCAAGTTATTTTTATTTTTTGGTGGTACTGAGGATTGAACTCAGGGTCTCACACACTTGCTAGGCAGGCGCCTACTTGAGCCATTCTGGCAGCCCTTAAAGCTCAGAGGCCTGAGTCTTGCAGAGATCAGACCATGCTGTGTGAGACTATTATAAAGCACTAGAATAGGGACTGTGGATGTAGTTTGGTAGCAGAGTCCTTGCCTGGGGATGGTGTTCCATCCCCAGCCCTGGGCAGGAGGAGGTAGGGAGAGGACTCTAAAATAGAGCTGTCAAAAAGAGCTTTCTGACGATGGCAACATTTGGTATTAGTAGTGTCCAATAGTAGCTACATGTAGCTATTGAGCACTTGCAATGAGGTGGTGTAACTGAGGAACTGAGGCTGAGTTTAGTTTGTTTACTTGAGACAGGGTCTGGCTATGTAGCCCAGGCTGGCCTCCAACTGCTGATCTTTTTACCGCCACTGCCCAACTGCTGAGATTACAGGTGTGTACCACCACATTTAAAGTGTGGGCCACTTCCATTTAAATAGCCCTATGTGACTAGTGGTCACCATACAGGACAGCACAGTTATAGAAGGAAGGCAGAATTTGATAGTCCCACTATATGGCTAGGATAGAGAGGGGTCAGCACAAACTCAGTGTGTGCTGGGGTCATGGAAAGTTTTCCAGAGTTGGGCCTTCAAGGCTAGACAAAGGAAGATAGAAGACACCATGGGCTGCAGAAAAACATCAACAGAGTGCAGGGAGGTGAAGTGCCCTGGGGACCACCACCTTGGAGGTGAGCAGAATTCAATAACTTTCCAAGGTCACCCAGACCCTCTGGCCCAGCCAAAAATTCCACACTAGAAGGCTGGAACTCATGTGTAAAAGGGTCTTCATTGCTATACTAAGAAGTATTTAAAAGGAGGGAATCATTGAGAGTTCTTGATCAAGGGAGAGGCCCTGTTTCAAGAAGTGTATTTGATGAGGGGGGAGAAGAGAGTTAGAGAAATAGGAGATAAAGAATTTGAGCCTGTGGCTCAAACCTGTAATCTTAGCTACTCAGGAGGCAGAGATCAGGAGGATCGAGGTTCAGAGCCAGCCCTGGCAAGAGACCCTATCTCGAAAAACCCTATCACACAAAAAAACTGGGCTGGTGGAGTGGCTCAAGGTGAAGGCTCTGAGTTCAAGCCCCAGTACTGGGGGAAAAAAAAAAACAACAAAAAACCTCAAGGATAGCTTTGCTGCTATCCTTATCCACTTCCCTTTATAGTCAGGCCTAACAGCCGTATAACACATTTACTGAATAAACCCAGGGGTCCTGCACACAAAGTAAGATTTACCAAGCAGCTCTACGTAATTATAGAGACACATAGAAAGTGTCCATTCGGCAAGGACTGGTTTTTTTTCTTTCCCTGTGGGGGCTTGGAGTGACCTTTGAGTTTGACCCCTGACCCCTCTCCCAGCCTGATGGCTTCCCAAAGATAAGTTGTCAACAATTTCTTCCTCACTCTCTCATCCCATTTTACTTACAGGGAATCCAATGCCAGCAAGCACCTTCAGTCAGACCCTGTTTTGTGTGGGTAGCTATCCCAGAAATAAAGAATCAGGATGCTGGAGCCAGGAGGAGGTAGGGTGGGATAAGACTCTCCTTCCAAGCTGGGAAAGCCTGGGGCCCTCCCCCAGCTGGCTCCATCTTTCACTGACCTTTCCATCAGAGCGCTGCCTTTCCATCAGGTCCTGACCTCTTGGCTCAACATATACAGGGATCTGTGCCAGTCTAAGGGTCAGGCCAGTAATAAACACAGCTTGGGTGGGTATAGGAAGGAGGTGCACACATTCCAGTTGGGCCCTAAGGCCCCCTCATGCACTTACACTTGGACCTAACCCCTGCACAGTGAAGGCTGGACCGAGTAGAGGTCCTAGACAATGGAGGGAGTCTGCCATAAAGGCACAGTGGCTAGGACAGTCCTAGAGAAACATGAGGCCTGCTTGCCTCCCCTGTAACAAATGTCCCTCAAACTCGTCTGCCGCTGCCCTACACCCACACTTAGGACCCTCCAGGTGCACCTCAGGGTCCAGGGCACTCCTTTCATCCCAGGGCCCAGGACATCTGACATCTACACATGTTGCACCACAGTCTCCCTGCTCAATTACTTCTGGATGATCAAACCCATCAGGAACAGATTAGAAGGATGGAAGGCTGAGTCCCAGGGGTGGGGAGGAAAGTTGCACTTTCCTTTCAGGTTCCCAGAGCAGCTCCCTTCAAAATGCCAGGAACGGGGCTGTCAGGATTCAACCCTCAAGGACCCCACTGAAGCCCTCCAGGGGTTCATGGCTGACTCACCTCCTGCCCAGTTCTGGGGGTGGAGCTCAGCCCCTTCCCTCTTCTAGACTTGTATTTTCTCTGTAGGCACTTCTACCCTGAGACCCCCCTGGAAAAGGAGGGAGTTTAGCAAAGGCAGTGACCCTAGCAGGTGGCTGGGTCTCTCCTCTCTCCCACCTCAGAGCCATCAAGGTCCTAGAGGCCGAGAGGGGGAAAGGGGGAAGAAAGCTGGCCAGAGGAGGTTGCTGGCCCATCAGGAATAGGAGGGGACCCACGATGGCCAGCTCAGGCTTTCAGGGCTTGCCTTCCCTCAGGACCAGGTGATCTTAATCCTGTTATAGACCCTGGGAGAAGGGATCTATCACTTTACCGCAAGGACCAGGATACTCAGCTGTTACCCCTCCATTACTCTCACCCCAATTCTACAAAAGGAAACCATCAGGCTAGGGAGATACTGAAGGACCTTGCTTAGGAAGCAAGGCCTGTGTCTCTCCTTACCCCAGTAGCTTCCTTTCCATCCCAATCCCCCACCTGCTTCCCCAGGAAATCACATCTCTCACTTTGGTTGGATCAGAACAAGGCCTCCCAGTGCGGGGGTGGGAAGACTTTACAAACTTCTCCCAGCCCACCAAGAGCCACCTGGACTGTGACACACTTCAACTGTATGGAGGTGGGAACCATGGTCTAGAAGTCCTGGAGGGACCAGGCTTCCGGAGGAGGAGGAACGCAGTGTGGGACCTGCTCACCCCAGTCTCTGCCCCTCAGGGCCTCCTGTCTTCTGGGGTTTGCTCCGGGTTCTGTGAGGCACTCTAGTCACATGCCTCAAGGCCCCACCCAGGGCACTCTGCCCCTGAGTCTGCCTTGAGTTGCTCCTTCTGTGCCTAGAGTGGGGGGATAGGAGAGTCCTAAGCTTTTACCTTCTAGCTCCTAGAAAGCCTCAGGTGCCTCTAGAGCCTGGCTGGCCAGGCCCTGCTGGCATTTTGCTGCCAGACTGCTGAACTGGGCAGACAGGTGAGGCCTGGGGATTCTAAGCTGTATAAAAGTTAATAAATAATAATAATAAAAGCCTCAAGTCAACCTTGAAGAGAAGCAAGGTCAGGACTGAACAGGCAAGGGCTGGGGAAGAGACAGGTTCTTGGTTTGCAGGCAAGGCTGAGGCTGGCTCCAGCAGCCCCATGGTGGCAGGAAGGAGGTCAGGGGGCTGTTAGATGTTTCTCATGTCAGTTCTAGCTCTGGCTCCAGCCCAACTCAAAGTTCCCCCATCTTAACTTTTTCCCCAGCTGCCAGGGCCTCCCCTCATTCCTCCACTTAGCCCCCAGCCCAAAGCACTCTCCCCTTTTCTCCAAAAAGTCCCCTATCCCTGCCTCTCTGGCAATCATGTAAATCCCAAGCTGGGGAAACCAGATCCAGAAACAGAAGGGGTAGAAGCCAGGGCAAGGTAAGCCAGCACCTTGCAGGCAAGCCCAAGCTCGGTAGGCCAAGAGAGGGCTTCCCAGCAGCAGAGTGGAATTAGCTTTTGCCATGCAGAGAGCAGCGCTCTGGGGCAGCAGAACAAAGAGGCGAGAGAGAAAGCCCCCCTTTGTCTGGGTCTGAATGCCAGGCCAGTCAAGGAGGAAGGCTTTCCCTGAGCCAGGGATGAGGCCAGCCAGGCCTGCTGGCTCAGTCCAGGGCAGAGGCCCAAGTCAGGCTTCCTGTGCCCACCCATGCTGCCCCCTCCCCCACAGCTCTGCAGGATCTGTTGGTGCTCCTACCTCCTCAACACCCACCACAGGCAAGAGCTCAAACTAGGGTGACTCCCATCTTTACCGCCTTTCCTCAACACCCTCACCAGGTGAGAAAGTCGCAAGCCACCTGGCAGACTCACAGTCACCCCATTACCTGAGTAAGCACAGTCAGAGCAACAGTGAAGTACACAGCAAGTTCAACGCAGGTACGCAGCCAACATGGCACAGAGACACCTCTCTCTGTCACACACCCCCCCCACCATACCTTCCTGACCCCACACCCCCAGTCACACACAAAACTATGTAATGTGATTAAGTCAGTCAGACACAAGTCCTTTCAAGAGATACCTATGTGAGACATAAAACTGAGTTCCATGTGAGGCATACATCCCAGACACACACACCTCTGCAGACATGGATGCACAGCACCCAGGGCTGCAGGAGGCAGAGTAATCAATAGGGCGTGCATGACAGGCACCCTGCTGTGTCAGCAGGATCCTGGGGTAGAGATGGGGAGGCGGTGCTGGGCCTCTGCCTGAGGCTCCTCTTATGGCCCAGGGAGGAAGGCTGAGATCAGGATGATCAGGGAGAGGGCAGTACATACTCCCGCCCCCGCACCCATGGCCTCCCCAGTCTGCTGTGGGCAGAGGGAGCAGTGGGTCTGCATTGCCTATGTCGGGCTGCAGCCCCAGCCTAGCTGTGTCCCCAGCCTTCCCTCCCAGAGCCACCTCCCAGAGAGGGACACACAAGCAGAGTCTTAGGACTCCCTCCAGGGTCCCAGTGCACTTTTCTCTAGCACAGACAACATGAGCAGGGTGCCCTCACCCCAGGTAGCTGCAAACCCCCAACTGGTGGGAGCAGTGGGATCTGCTCTCCAGACAACACTTCTCATCTCTGTATCTGGAAGGATGCAAGAACAGGGTCCCGGCAACACTTCCAGCCTTGACCTGGGGTCACAAGCGCAAACAGACACAGTTGAACACACACACACAAAAACCAGGCCCTCGCTTGGGTCCTTTCTATGTTGACGGAAGTCACAAGGGTGCTCCCAACTCCCCCTCATTCCCTGGCTACTCAGATGGACCTCTGAACCTGGGGGCTGGAAGGGGGCTTGTTCACCCAAGGCTGCTAGACCTGTACTCCACTTGGATGTTCCAATCCTGGGCCCTTAGCCCTGCCCCCCTTCCCCGCCCACCATAGTCCCATGGGAAAGAATACTGAGGGTAGAGACAAGTCCCAGAGAACAATCTTGAGGCCCATCAGGTGGGCACCCAAGCCTCAGGCAATGTGGCCAACACATTGGCTTCCCAAGGGCAAAGCGGGGCAACTACCTGACCTGAACAGTTTCTCAGGCTGGGTAGAGGCCTTGCTCCTGTCCCTGAACCCCACTCCAGCTCAAGTGCACAAGTGGGTACTTATGAGCACGTGAGGGTAGGGACACCAGGGGAAGGTTAATCAGGATTTCCTATTTCTAGCCAACTGATGTGGCACCTCAGAGCCTCTCTAGGAGGACAAGAGAGGAAGTGCGAGAAATAGCCTAGATTTTTAGGCATATGCCAGGTCTCTGTGCCTTTGCCCCTAAATTCTGGGTGGTACCAGCAAAGGCCCTTTAAGACAGACGCCCTCCAGCAAGGCAAAAGGGGCCAAGGCAAAGGTCCCCCCCATTTGGCCTAGAGGGAGAAAGGGTAAGAGGGAGGGAGTGAGAGAGAGAGAGAGAGAAGAGAAGAGGGAGGAGAGAGAGCCAGCAAGGTTCTTCCTTTCAGCTTCCCCATGGTTCACCCCCTCCCCAGAGGGCAGACCCCTATTCCCCCACATTCAATAAGTCAAAATCACACTTGAGTGACACTGGACTATTCAAGAGTTTCCAACCCCAGTACACTGGGGCACCAAGAAGAATGGAGGTTAGGGAGCCTCGAGGAGTATGAGACTCAGGCTGCTGCTGCTGCTAGGCACAGATGCTGAGTGCACAAAACTGCACATCTGGCTCTAATGCAACCCACTACTTCTGAGCTTACACACACACACACACACACACACTCTCTCTCTCTCTCTCTCTCTCTCTCTCTCTCTCTCTCAGAGTTGCTGACAAAGTTCAGTGCCTGCTTCCATCCCATCTTAAAGTCTGGAGACCAGGGGCCTGCTGGCAGAAAACCAAGGGTATACCCTGTAAGAAAGCGCCACCCTCTAACCCCTCAACGCTACAGGCAGGAGACAGGTCCTTATGAGGGCACATATAGACACACACCTAAGTATATGTTCCTATGACCCAGTCATGTATAATAAAGTTTTCTCCCCACCCCAACTAAGACATCCCTGGCACTCAGACTGACCCCACTTGAGAACAGACTCAAGGGTGCAGGAACACCCTTGGGTGCTGTCCCCTCCTGTTCCTCTCAGCCACATCACCTTCCTTCTCCTCCACCCACTTCCCACTGCCAATCCCATGACAGAGAACTGGACAGTCCTCCTTCCTCCAGCCTCTTCACTTATCCCAGCCTCCTCCCCTGCCATCTCTATTGATAGCAGCAGCTCCCAACACTGGGGAAAATGTGGGCTGTGCCTGCCCTGGTTTGAGGGTAGAGGACACCAGGGCTTCTTAGGCTCCTTCACTTCCCTTGTCCTGGTCTTTTTCAACCTTGGTGTGTGTGTGGGGGGGGAAGTGGCCCCTCTCTCCACATCCCCCCCACTTCCTTTAAGAAACCAGAGGCCTATCCTGGCACAAAAACCCAGAGCTAGCCCATCAGATTGCAAACTAATTATACTGCAAATTTTGTTATCCTCGCCTGGGCCTGCGGTGGCCCTCCTGCCTTTTGTTGGTTGTATATGTATGTTTTTTAATTGCTAAACAGTGACTCATTCTGCTCCCCCCCCCACAGGAAACAGCCCCCATCTACAATCATGTCCTGCTCAGAGCTTCCTCATACCCTATTGGCCTCACTAGCCTCCAGGGGCCCCCACCCATAAACACTCCCAAGTCCTACTAAAGCCAACCTCACCCCCATGATTATCACACCCAGGCCCCAAGCTGGAACTTCCGAGAGGACTCAGTCAGTCTTAGGCCAACCCTTTCCTTTTGGTGAGTCAATCCTGAGAGCCAGGGGACTGGGGAGGGACCTAGGAGGAGCCCCCTCCACTGAAGGGGATGGAAGTATGCCTCAGTTCAGCTCCCAAGCCAGGCCCAGAGGCCTGAGGGGGGGGAGGGAGGTTTTGACATTGGCCGCTGCTGCAGGGTGTATACAATGGGAGGGGGTGCGGTTCTGTAATCACCCAGCCGGCAGCCCAGGGGAGCCAGCTGCCTGAAACCAGATTTCAAGGCGGCTCAACCTTAAACCCACAGGATTCTTTTTCCGTCCTCCACCTCCCCTTCCCAAATGTGGGAGGGCTGTGCTGGAGGGCTGGGCTGGGAGGAAAGAGCCCAGGGTGAGGAAGATACATACTTTAAGGTTTGTTCATGCAGGACGGACAAAATACACAGACACAGGGGCAGCCTCTCACATGGCGAGCGTCTTGCTGGGACTAAGCCGCAGAGCTGAGACACGGTTGGGTGACTCCTCTGGCTGTCCAGGCCTTGCCCAGATAGATAGGGGAGTTCTGCTTTCCCTCCGGAAGCTCCCCCCCACCTCCAGTGTGTTTCCAATAGAGCTTAAAACTAACATGGCTGCTTTTGTTTACTTCCTCATTGGTATGCCAACATCATGGATCATGTCAGCCACAGCAGCGGCACCAGGACACTCATTACATAAACAGCAGCTGGAGAAGCAGGACCGGGGTCACTGCCTTGGTGACTTCCCGTAGGGCTCACAGTAACAACGCTGGGGGAGGGATCTGCTTTAAACAGAAAAGCAACACCCAAACTGTACCTCTGACAGCCTCCCCACCCCAATTCTATAAAGGACTCGCAAAATGGACCCTAAGAGCACAGGTGTGAGAATGCATCCAGCAGCGATCTGGGGCCCTTCATACCAGGTCCCTGCCCCAAAACTTTCAGAGAAGAGTTTGGAAAAGGGCCACAAGAGTCAGCCTGTCGGGATGGGTGGTCCCCAGGCGGGAGGGAGTGTGTAAGTGCGTGCAGGGTACTTGCCCGGATCTCATTCCTCCGGATCTCCACGTCGCACACCGAGTGTCCCTGATGCGCGCCGCTGTAGTAGCAGCAGTACTGGCACACGGCCACCTGCTCGGCCTCGCAGTGGTAGAGGCGGTAGGCGTTGTGCTGCGGGCAGCTCCAGGCCCGCACGTCGTCCGCCTCCACCAGGAGGTGCCCGCGGGCGGTGGAGGGCTGCTGCAGGTGCGTCTGCACGTGGGACTGGCAGCAGGGCGCCTCGCAGCGCAGGCAGACCTTCTGCGCGGGCAGTGGGGGGCCGCGGCGGCAGAACACGCAGTGCAGCGCCGCCGGTGGCTTCTCCACGTGCAGGGCATTGAACTTCTCTACGATGTTGGTGAGCTTCAGGTTCTTCTCCAGGCCCGGCTTCTGGTTGTAGGCCTGGTTGCACTCCGGACAGCGCACCAGGCCGCTGTCCTTGGCCCACGCCTCGCCGATGCAGCCCCGGCAGAAGTTGTGTTTGCACGGCAGCTGCACCGGCTCCACGAAGACGTGCAGGCAGATGGGGCAGATGAGCTCCTCCTCGAAGCAGTTCTTCCAATTCTCCGCCATGGCGGCTGCGGCCAGGGGGCCCAGGCAGGCCTCCCTAACTCTCCAACCCTGGGGGTTCGTCCGGTGCAGCTGTGGGCCCAAGGAGCTCGGAGCTCCGGCCCCCGGCGGCCCCGACTGTCGCTCAGTCACCAGCGCCTTCCGCGTGCCCGCCCCCCAGAGGAGGGAGCCTCGGTCCTCACGCCGCGCGCGCCGCGGGTTGCGCCTCCTCCTCCTCCTCCTCCCGAGCGCCTAGCGGGAGGCGGTGGACTAAACCAGGGCCGCGGCCGGGGAACCAGCCCTGGAGCAGAGCGCAAGGATCCAAATTCCATATACGAGGCCGCCTCTTCGTCGGCTCGGCTAGGGCAGCGTCGGCGCGCGGCCTCCGCTCGGCCCCGCGGCTGACATCGGGTGCGACCCACGGCGGACGAAGCCCGGGAGCCGCACACTTCCTTTAGCGACGGCCTCGGCGATGGTGGCTCCCGCCCGGCTCGTCGGCGCCGCGCCTCCCTCGCCTGGCTGGGGGCCGAGGTCCGAGGGGCCCTAGAAGCTGGTGCGGCCGCGCTGAGCGTTTCTAGATCCGGACGGGGCCGACAAGGCGAGCCGACTGTCCCCGGGCCGTGGAGCGGGCGTTCCCCCGCTGGTCGAGCGGGTGCGGGTGCGGGCGCCGGCTGCGGGGCACGGACGGGCAGACTCCGGGGCGCTGCGTGCGCGCTGGGGCAGTCATTCAGATGAAATTCCAGTCCCCGGCCAGAGACACCAGCCCGCCTCTGCCTTCCTCCTCCCTTCACAAATAGAAACGGAAGGGGGAGGGAGAGAAGTGGAAAAAAAGGCAACCAGAAAGGAGGGAGGGAGGGAGAAGCCCCGGAGGTGCTCTGGCCTGACCCCCTTGTCGCTACTTCGGCGCTCCCCCGAGGACCCGCTCAGGGCGCCCCCCCCGCCGCGGAGAGACCCCTCTCTCCCTCTCCGCGCAGGGCGGGCTCCTAGGCTCTGCCCAGGAAAACAAGGATTGATCAAACTAGAAAGGAATTTTTCTCAACTGCTAATGAACAGGAGGCTCGGCTCCCGGCCCTCCCCTCCCCCCGCCGGTCCTCCCCTTCACCCCCCTGGCCCCCTCCCCCCCCCACACTTTCTTTTCTTCTCGGCCTCTGCTCCGGCCTGGAAGGCTCGGGGCTGCGGTCGGAGCCAGACTGCGGCGGTGGGGCTGAGCCGAGCCAGCCGGGCCGGGCTGCCTGCCTCCTCAGCGCCCAGCCATCTTGGGCTCCTGCGGTGGCGACGGCCGGGGGGTCCGGGTGCGCGCGCTCGAGGGTCCTGCAGCTTTCTCTCTTTTTCTTTTGGTGAGATTCCCCCCACACACACCCCAAGGGGAGGGCTGGTAGCCTCCAGCAAATTAGGAGAGAGAGAAGAGAAAATGCCAAGTCCTGATTTCTCTCCACCTCTGCTCCACCCACCCCGGTCCTTTCCAAAAAATAAAAAAAGATTAGAATTGGAAGAAGTCGGCAGAAAGACGAGTGCCCGCGGCCCCCGGCTGCTGCCCAGGCGACGCGTCCGGGGCGGGCCCGCGCCCTACGCTCCGTCCGTGAGTCTGTTTGTCCGCCCGCAGCTTTTCAAGTGAGGGGAGGGCACTCCGGGCAGGGTCTCCGCAGTGGCCGTCGCTTCAGAGCTTTATCCTCAGATCAAAAAAGAAAAAAAAAAAAGGAAGAAACCATCCCCCCCCAACTCGAACACTCATCACAGCCACCTTCAGCCATCTTGCGCGTATTATTATTATTTTAGGAATAATCTGTTTAATAAAAATAGCTGCGTCTCTAGCCCCTTTCCCCGCATCCTGAGATCCCCGCCCCCTTTTAATAATAATCTCGATAATAAAAATGATCGGCGGGCCGGGCAGTCCGCGGCTGCCTTTTCCTGCCTTGGCTCGCTCGGGCTCCGGCTCTCCTCCCCCAGGAAGAGGTGGGGGGGCTCGCCGCTGGGGCTGGGGGTGCGTCCCTGCGGCCCGCCTGTCGGCCCTGCAGCCTGCGCGGGGAGAGAAGGGCGCCCTCGCCACGGCCGCGAGCGGAGCGGAGGGGGAGGGGCCACGGCCCGCGGGACCGACTGGAGGGGAACACGGGGGTCTTCGGTCCCCCGCCGCGGCCTCCGACATCGGAGTCCGCAGCCGCCCAGTGTACAATGGGTTCCGAGCAGAGTGTGGCCGGCAAGGTGGGGACGTGGGAGGGCAGGGGACTGCGGTGAGTCGGACTACCGGACAGCGGCGGATAGAGGACAGGGTGGGGGCTGGGGGGGCTACTTGTCCCTACATCAAGGCCGGTCCCGCTACTCGGGAAGGGGGCGGGGAGACACTGAGGGGGGAGGTGAGGAGAAAGCAGCAGGCGGCGCCTTTAATCAGCACCCGCTGGTTCAGCCCACCCGGCACTGGCGGAATAAACCCGCGAGGGGTTGGGGAAAGGGCGGGGCGTGTTTTCCGGAAGTGCTGTTACAGCTGCCGAAGCGCCTGGCCCCTCCCCTTTTCCCTGTCTGGAATTGGGGCTGTTCCGGAGGCTGCTTAAGCTATTGGTCCCCACGGTGAGGCCCCCGCCTTTTAAGGGCGTGGCAACTCCGCGAGCCTCACGTGACTGTACTAACTTTGGTACGTTAAACATTCACGGTTGGAGTGGAGGGGATTTCTACGTTTTTTCTTTTTTTTTTTGTGGTACTGGGGCTTGAACTTAGGGCCTACACTTTGAGCCACTCCATCAGCCCTTTTGTTTGTAATAGGTGTTTCCGAGACAGGGTCTCGCGAAATATTTGCCCGGGCTGGCTTCGAACTGCGATCCTACGTATCTCTGCCTCCTGAGTCGCTAGTATTCCAGGCGTGAGCCGTCGGCGCCCGACCTTCCACGCTTCTTAAACGCGCGATGATGCCGCTTATTTCTTCTAGGCCTCTTCACTCTTATTTCTTTTTACTTGAGAGGAAAAGGAAAATTTGTCAATCAGTCCCGTAGAACTGAGCAGGGAATTACAACTGTAGGGCAATGTCCTTGATACTTTTCCCCATATCCCTGACGCTTAAAATTACATAGATAAGTAGTATTATCCCTCTTTTATTGACAATGAAACTGAGGCTTAAAGATCTGGAGTAACCTCCCGAGGTCAATTGGTCAGTCAATAAATAGACCGTAAAACAAAAGATGTAATGTGTCGGGCATTTTTGTAAACCTTTGGGATTACCTTACATATGTACTTTTTTTTTTTGCCAGTCGCTCTGAGAATGAGCCCCGTGTGGTTGGTGCGCTTGGAGAGGCACTGCCTGCGTAAGTAGTATGACTGACGGATGACGCCCCGCCACATGCCGCTCGACCATATGTACGTTTTTTAAAAATTTAAATATATGTAGGAGGCCAGGCACCGGTGGCTCATGCCTGTAATCCTAGCTACTTGGGAGGCTGAGATTGGGAGGATTGCATTTCAAAGCCAGCCGGGGACAGATGGTTCCTGAGACCCCCCCATCTCCAAAACAGCCGGAACAAAAATGGACTGAAAATGTGGCTAAAGCGGTAGAGCACTGAGTTCAAATCCCAGTCCCACCCATCCCCAAATATATATAAGTATATGTGTATATATATATATATATATATATATGTATATATGTATGTATATATTAATCTAAGAGTAAAAGGCACAAAGACTTTCTGGAGCAGTGACATCTGAGCTCAGACCTGAATGCTGTTAGGAGTCAGACAAGAGGACAATCTGGGGTGGAGTGCTTCCATCTGAAGGAAAAACAAATACAAAAGAAATAAAGAAACATGTTCCAGGGCAGAAGGAAGGCAGTGTGGGAGGGAGAAATACAGGTAGGGGCCAAAGCACATAGGGCATTCTGGTCACGGTAAGGAGTTTGGACTTTAAGCTGGTTGTGAGCAACTGTCAGATTTGGTATATATTTTAGAAGTAGAACCAACAGAACATACTGTTAGACTAGATATGGGGTACTGAGGAATCCACGCAATAACATTAGGGGAGTAGGAATGAGATCAAGATGTATTTATCACTACATATTCTTCTGAACTTTGAGACAGGTTTTGTTTTTTTTTAAACAGGCTCTCACTGTGGTTCACTTTGGTTCATTATGACCTTTGGTTCTCTGATCCCTCACATGAGCCATGTGCTGGACAAATAAATTCATAAATGCATGCATGTCTGAATGAACAAACAAGGAAAAAATGGTTTCCAAGCCAGGTATAGTTTGGAGCAGTTGGAGGGTCCTTCCCTGGCCCTACCATTGACCTTCAAGATAATCTAATGGATTCTTCTCATTTTTCTTAAACACTCATCTTGTAAGACATCATACTCTTCTGGTTTTCTTCCTATCTTCTAACTTCTCAATGCAACAATTTTCAGCTCAGTACTGTTGACAGTTCTGAGTCCTTTTCTCCATCCTCTTCTCACTAATTCACACCTCTCCCTAGGGCATCTTCTTTACTCCTGAGCCTTTAGGACTGCTTGGAAGCTGAGCACTCCACAGTCAGCATCTTGACTACACCCTCTCTCCTGGTTACAAGTTCATATAGCTCTCCACACAGATTTCTCCCAGGCACCTTGAGTTCCAGGTGTTAGATACTGTATTTCTCATTCTTTTCCCGTTCCAGCCTGTTCCTTCTCCTACATTTTCCATCTCCATCAGTGGACCCATCAGCCACTCAGTTATTACCCAGCCAAGGATCAGGAAGACAACCTAGACATTTCTCTGCCCCTCACCCCCCTGATCCATTCAGTCAGCATCAGTTCTTGTAGCTATACCCTTCTTCTGAATATCATTCAGATTACCCAGAAGTATACTAGTTGCTCACGTGACATCTTTACTTGGAGGTCCAACAAGCACCTTCAACTTAACGTGTCCAAAATTATTTATTTCTGCTCTCTCCTAAACCTGTTCCTGCTGCAACCTTCAGCTTCTCAGTGAGCATAGCCTACCATTCAGAAAATCTAGACTACTTTTTTTGTTTTTATTTTTTTGCAGGACTGGGGATTGCATGCTAGGCTAGCACTCTACCATTGAGCCACACACCCCCCACCCCCCACCCCCCTGCCCTTGACTACCTCTTAACATCTCCACTTCTTCATCATAATGTTTTGTGTGAATTATTTCACTGAGTCCTAACTGGTTTCCTTGCTTCTGCCTTTATCTCCTACAGTCAATTCCCAACATAGCAGCAGACTTCTCTTTCTAAAATACAAGTCAGCAGCCAGGTGCGGTGATATGCATGTGTAGTCCCAGCTACTCAGGAAGCTGAGGCAGAAGGATCACTTAAGCCCCCAACTTGGAGAGCAGCCTGCGCATGGTCTCCAAGACCCCATGTCAAAAGTAAATAAATACTTAAAAGTCAGACTGTGAAACTCCTGTGCTCAAAATCTTCTGAGGGCTTCCCATAATAAAAGTAATTTTGGGGCTGGTGGAGTAGCTCACATGGTAGAGTGCCTGCTAACAAGCATGAGTCCATGACTTCAATCCCCAGTACTACCAATAGTAATGACAATGATACTAGTAATAGTAGTAATAATAATGTCAGAGTTTTATAATTGCCTATAAGGCCCACATAACCTGACCTGTGTGACTCTCTGGCCTTACCCACTATTATTCTTCTTCCTTCATTCATCTCTAGCTGCTTGGCTTCCCTATTGTTCCTCAAACACACTTGGCCTGTCCTCTTCTAGTCTTTCTAGCTGCTCTTCACTTTGCCCAGCCCATTTTTCCCCCAGATAACTCTGTGCTTGCACTTCTTCCTCTCCTTGACATCCTTTGTTCAGATGTCACCTATGCAGTCAGCCCTCTTTGACCTATTTTAAAATTTGCCCCTCCCTCAAGTTCTCCCTTTCACTCTTCTGATTCTTCTCCATGTATATATTCTGTCTTTAAAAATTATTATTCTCTCCCATCACTAAAGTGTAAAATCTGTGAAAGGAGGGATTTTCTTTTTTTTTTTTTTAGTACTGGGGTTTTTTAGTACTGAACTCAGGGCCTTACACATGCTAGGCAGGTACTCTACCACTTGAGCTACAGCTCCAGCCCTTTTTTGTGATATTTTTTTTCTAGATAGGGTCTCTTGAATTATTTGCTTGGGGCTGGCTTTGAACCTCAGTCCTCCTGATCTCTGCCTCCTGAATTGCTAGGATTACAGGTGAGTCACTGATACCAAGCATGAGGGATTTTCTTTAATGCTGTATTCTTGGTACCTGCAATGGGACTTAGCACAGTAGATGATCAACAAGTATTTGTGGAAACAATGAATGAATCCCATTTTCTCTGTCCCCACTGCTTTGACCTACTCTTGTCTTGACTGCTCACCCTGCCCCCACTTTCTGCCTTTCAAAACATTCTCCATCCACCAAAGGCACAATGCACCATCCTAAAATTAGAGCTTGATCCCCTAAACCACATACTCCTGGCAGTGTCAAGTCCTTACTGCCCCAAAAGAGTTTTGCTGTTCCATCTCGAGAACTTTCGAAAGTAAAACCCTTCTTCTTTTGCTCAACCCATAGACCTTCTTCAGGTTTTGGCTTAGATCTCACTTCTTTCAGGAAGCACCCTCCCCCCCATCCTCTCTAATGGGATTTGAACTGAAGGCAGCTGCTCTACCACTTCAGCCATGTACCCAACTCTTTCTGCTTTACTTATTTTAGTATAACTTTTTTTTTTTTTTTTTTGGCCTGGAGCTAGCCTCAGACTACAATAATCCTCTTATTTTCACCTCCATGGTAGCTGGGATTACAGGTACGTACTACCACAACCAGCGTATTGTTAAGATGTGGCCTGGCTCACTTTTTGCTCAGGCTGGTCTTGAACTGCTATCCCCTGATTTCTACCTCCTGAGTAACTGGGATTACAGTTGTGAGCCACTGTGCCTGGCCTCAGGAAATCTTTTTAAGTGTCCCCCCACTCCACTGCCCTCCCCACAGTGGGCTAGAAACCTGAAAGCATGAAGAATAGAGTCAGACATCTCATGTATGTTATCTCATATAACCCTTGCAAAAACTCTATGAGGCAAGGATCCTTTGCAGTTGAAGAAACTGAGGCATAGGTTAAGCTGTCTGGTCACACTGATATAAGTGGTGGAACTGGAGGTAGGACAAAAAACAGTTACTGCCTTCCTCTTTCATGGTTCCTCCTTGTTAGTATCCGTGTCCTTGTCCATTGTTCCCACTGAACTATGTGCTCCTACGTGCAGGCAGGGTCTGTGTTCATCTCCTGGTATCTAAGAGTCGTGGCACACATTTGCTGAAAGAACAGCAGTGTTTTCCAGTTTTTACCATTCCCACAGTGTTATGGAGGCTCAAAAATACATAGCTGGACTTCCTGTCTTGTACAGATTGCCACCCAGCAGCTCCATTCTCCATGCCCTAAAGGCTCTCATGAAACTGAGATGGGGTGTGCCAAACTGGATAAACAAGGAGACTGGTCCACCTTCTGGCTCTAATAAGGCCGCTACACTCATTACAACCCTGTCACAAATCCCCTCAGAGTCTCCTTTGTACATGTTACTCAGATATGTTCACACTAACTGTAACACCCACCAGCAATCAACTCTGCCTCTTCCCCATTCTGCCTACCTGAGCTCTCTCCCAAAGACTTCAGAGGACTGGGTCATTCCCATAGTGTCCCCAGAAGAGCCTGGCCTTCCCAGACTACATCCTGGCATACCCCTTCAGGTTGGGAACACATCTTTCGCTTTTGCCCAGCAAATCACTCCCTCACCCCATCCTGGCCTGCCCACCCCTCTCTCTCTGCATCTGCAGCTGCCTCAGTGCCTGGCAGGCTAGACCGGGTAACTTCCAGCTTGCATTCTTCTTCTAGTTGGTCCAGTTTGACAATTGCTCATGTTCCTCAGCCCCTGTGGCCCTGGAGCTATGGCCTCCTCCCAGGGTCCCAGTCCCCCCAGAGGAGGCAGAGCAGACACCTGGGGGAATCACTGGCCTTTTTGCAGAAGACATTAAATATCACCTGGCAGATGGAATGAGGTCTCTGCTCTAGAGACCTGGTCTAGACCCAGGAGCCCTTCTCTTTCCAGAAACAAATCCAGTCCAGTACTGTCTCCCAGAACCACCTGCATTTTCCATATTCTGCATTTTCTGGGGCAAGGACTTCATCCTAACTCTTGAGTCTTTCTAGGCCAGAGTCAGATAAAGATGATGATAAGTACCCCCCAATCTCCAGGGAGCAAGAGGAGGGGCATAGCCTGGACCACCCTGGGATTGTTAGCCTGGCTCTTGCTTGCTCCCTTGTTCTGGATAGCAGAGGGACTGAGGGGCCAATGGTCCAGGTGCCAGTCCCTTGTCAAGAGTTTAGGAAGAGGTCCCAGGGAAAGGAGAGATTCTGACCTCCTCCTAGGGTAGGTCCCCAGGTTGCTGGGTCTTATAGAGGATGGGGAGAACTAAGAACCGCCACATGGGAGCTGACACCTCCTTTCCCTGCCTTGTGATGTCCTAGGACCTCTACTACCAACCCTGTAAGGATTCCTTGGGTGCTGCCACTCCCTCCTGAGGACCAGGCTATGCCACTTGCCAGGACAAAAAAGTAGGCCTAGCAGAAAGGGAAACAGTATGTGAGGGCTCCTGGTGGTCCCCAGTTCTAGAAATCCCGTGTGCGTGTGAATGCCACCCTGCCTGCATCAAGGTTCCAGGCTGTTGCTTCCTCAGTTCTCTAGCTTTGGAATTTGTTTTATTGCACGGGGCGCTGAAGAAGCAGGAGCTGCTGAGCAATCAGGGAAGGAAGGTACTCCTGCCTTTGCCTCTTCACCCAGGCCAGGCCCAGGGGAGTTGCTAGAAGGGAAGGCTGGCCTGTGTCATCCTGTGGATCCTCTGGTTCTGAGATGCCCCTTCTCCCAGATTCCGAGCCCTTCCCACAGGCTCTGGATTAGGAGGTTGAATTTAGATGCCTGGTAAGGAGAGTGGCTGGCTGAGAGGAGGAAGAAGGACTGCTAAAGTAGAGGTGATGAAGTTCCACCTTCCTCATTTTGGGCCCCTCTTCCTAAGGAGAGAGGTAGGTGGAAGAGGAATGAAAAGTGGCAGACTATACCCCACTGACTTTAGAAGAATCAAGACCTAGAAGGGAGGGCTGGAGATGTACAAGCTCAGTGGTAGAGCACTTGCCTAGCATGAGTGAGGTACTGGTTTCAATTCATAGCACTGAAAAACAAACAAACAAAACCCACACAACCCTGAGGGAAACTGTTCCTGAAGTCATTTCTGCATAACTTGAGTGTCACCCAGCTGCATGACTGCATGACCCTATACACTGGCACGCTGTACTCCCAGCAACACTCTTCAAGGCCTCCCCATCCTGCTTCTAAGTGGCTTCCAGGGTTGTAGTCTTCCTGTTCTCTTTCTCCAGGAAACTAGAAAGGAGCACACAATCCAGGCACTTCTGCAAATACGTTTAATGCACTTAGATTACACAGAGGAAGAAGGGGCAAAAAGAAACGACATCTAAGTGAGTCACTCAAAAATTCTTACAAAAATCCCGAGCTGGCTGCAGCCCCAGGAACCAAGTCCTCACTGACATTAAAAACTAATACAAAACTTTACAAAAGTCTGCTCATTGCATCTTTCAGGTACTTGTACAAAAGGGCTCCTGACTTGTAACAGAGACCCAGGCAGCTCACCTGGTACTTGGTCTTGGAAACCAGAGAGGGAATTAAAAAAATACAGGTCAGGGAATTCTGTCTGCCACATAGGAGCACCAACCTTCAGGTTTCCTCCCTGCTCTCAACTCAATCTCAAAACCTAGTCCCAAGACCTGGAGTCTGGTTTTTAGAATGTTCTAGCCCTTTTAGATTCTTCCCATGGCCTCCCCAGTCCCTGTCCCAGAGCCTTGCCTTTTGGAAGAAAAAGAGGCACCAGCTTCTCTGCCAGGCTCAAGATCCTGCAGAAATCTCCCTACCCCTCAGAGTAGCAGCTAATATCACAGCCTCTTAAGCCCACACTGGATCTGGGCAGTTACAGAAGTCTGCTTTAGATAACAGGCCCACAGCAAAGGGGGAACCCCTGCTCAGAAGCTCTAGCATTAGGGCCTGGAGCAGTGGGGTAGGACCGGGCAAACCTTGAGGAAGGAAACATCCGTTACCTCCCCCTGTAAGAAGGTGAGGGCTCTTATGGAGCTACAGGGAGGGAAAGGGGTCCGTTTACTGAGCACCCACCATGTGGCAGAAGCAGTGCTGGACCTGTTACAAGGCCAGCTTCACTTGATCCTCAGTCAGTCTCCTCTCATCATTCAGCAGCCTAATGGAAAGTCCCTTTTCTGAGAAACTTCTCGAAGAAACCAGAGTTCAAGGGCAAGGCAGCCTGGTTAGAGATGGCTGAGGCCCTGCCACCCCTCCTGGAGCCACTGCACTATGGGTAAATCATGGGAGCCTGGTCCAAGCAGGATCTAGGATGTTCATGAGGTTTCTGACAAGGTGGGGGACAGGAAGGGGCCCCAGGCTTGTTGGGTTAATCACCTTAGAGCTTACCTGCTCCTCCTGTTGTCCCAGTTCCCCAAGAACCACGCCATCAAGCAGGTGGTGCCACCCATAAGCCTGAGAAGTCCCTGCAGGCCTGGGGAGTTGTTGACCAGATGTTTGACATACTAATGACAAAGCTTACCTCAGAATACACACCAGGCAAACCAGGCAGATGGAGGCAGGGCAAGATGCAGCACGGAGCCCTCTGGCAAGTCCCCAGGAAGGGAGAATCTGGGGAGACCAGGGCCAGGATGGCAAGGAATAAAGGCAAACTGATGGCACCTCTCTGTCCATGGAAAGTGAGAAGATGAGCTTCAAAGGCAGGGCAATGTGGTGGGTGAAGACCCATATGATAGATAACATTCTCAGGGCAGCATGTCCATTGGTACAGTATCAGATCCAGAGGGGCTTGTATGTTGGCTGGTGGGGGTCTGCAACTAGTCTCTCTCAAATGCTCCAGGCAGAACTGCCTTGCAGCACTGAGGGTAGCCCTGGGATGTGCAGAAGGGGCCAGGCCTAGTGGCCACTTGGAGGTCCAACTCCTGTTCTCTGGAGAGCCTGTTCCTTGTCAGTGCTCTCAAGTTCCTTGAAGGCAGTGGATCTTTGACTAGATCTCTCATCAGAAGGATCCTGCGCCTCATGGGCTCCCAGAACACCCCTGATGGTGCTGTGTGAGCAGGTTGTAGAGGCAGATGGGGAGAGGAAGGAGCTGTGTATAGTCCCTGACAGATAAAAAGACTTTGCTTTGGAGAGATCTTATTCTACCCTATCCTTCTTATTCCAGGAATAAGAGAGATAGGAAAGGGGCTTGCTAATTCTAGGTGAGGAGAGGGAAATACCTCAACAGGAACCCCAAAACTGTGGGCCAGAGACAGTTTGGCGTCTGGAAGGCAGAATGTGAGATCTACATTACTGGGAGTGAAGGACTAAGAATTAGAAACAGCCAAGATGCAGGAAAAGAGACAGGACAAGGATGAAAGATGAGAAAAGAATGAATGGAGGGAGGATGCAGGGCAGCAGAGAGCAGTTTCAGCCAAATTGAAGTAAAAGATGTTGAGAGGTTTGTTTTTCAGATCTTAATAAGCCAGCATTCGCAGCCTGGGTGCTGGGAAGCCCAGGAGACAAGGAAAGGGACAGGATGGCCAGAGAGCTGGAGACCCAGGCAGGGACGGTCATCAAGGCAGTGGGCCTCACCCTCTCCTTGGGAGGCCTGGTTATGTAGGAAAAAACTGGAAGATGAAACTGGGGCCACTAAATCCTTGAGTCTCTAAAAGTCCCTTGGAGCTTGTAGGTTTCAGCACGCTTGGTAAACAGCCTCACCTGCCTTCTCCCTGGCCCCAGTTAAACCAGGCTCAAGGCTGCACACAGTGTGTCTCATTCTTCCCTTGCCCCAGGCTCCTCTGGCCCATCTGGGAAGAAAAGCCCATGTGGAGCCGGCTCCTCCAGGGCCTGGGACTGGCAGGCAGCGCTGGGCACCTTCTGGCATATGTGTAGGAGGAGGCAGAGCCCCATCATCTGGGAATAAAGTTCTGTTTAAAAAACATTATATACATGGCTTCTGGACATCTTTGCTGAGTGATAAAATACCATCCGGTTTCTACAAAATAAAATAAGAAGAAAACGAAACACCATCAGAGTAACTGTTCCATGGTGGGAGCAGCCTGACTGACTAGCAAAGGCTTGTGGGATTGAGCTGGACAGCGCACCCTCATGTGTGCTCTGCATCAGGCTGCGTGGCAGGGGTATGTGAGGATAAGGCGTGGCTCTACCCAGGGACATATCAAGGGTCCAGAGTCAAATCTTAAGCCAGAACCTGTGGTGGCAGCAGGTGGGGAAAAGTTTGCATGTGCTCGCTCACTGGCCCAGTGGGATAAGGGCCTGGTCGCATGGGCTTGGCCAGCTAGGGGACGAGGCCCTTGAGCTGGAGGTGAGGTAGGGCCTATGGCCCATGCTCGGCATCCCATTGGGCTGTGGGTGTGGCGGCTGCACAGTCATCCTCACACTTGTCCTTTTATTTGTGGGAATGTCCCTTTATGCGGTTGTTACACCAGAAGTCACTGGGAAGCAGCTGGTCTCCCCTTGGCCCCTGCAGGGCCCAGCTCAGGCTAGTGCAGTGGACTGTCGAACACCACGTCAGGGAGGATGGAGACTTTGAGCTTCTTTTCAGGCCAGCTGTACTCTTTGGGAAGTTTGAACTGTGGAAGGAGTAAGCACAAATCCAGAACACATGTGGTTAGCAGACTCCACTGCCTTCTTCCAAGAAAGAGAGTGTTGAGAGAGGCAGGACACTCACTCAGGCCCTGTCTCTGGGATGCTGGGGGCAAGACAGGCCACTAGATGCCTGGCTTCACTTTCAAATGCTGGACCCAGGTGGGCAGCTGAGGTCAAGCTGCTGGAGTTTTCTCCCCTTTCTTTCCCTTTGCCCTGTCAATAACTAACCAGGTTAGAGGAGGCATGTTTTCTAGTTCTTTCTTGACTGTGCTGACCTCCCCCATGCTCACTTCCTTGGTTCTGCCTCCAGCCACAAGCATGTAAGGAATCTGTTCTCAGAGGCCCTGGGGCTGGAGAATGGGGAGCTGGGGCAGAGTGTGGATGCTACAGGGAAGTGGCTTGAGGTTTGTCGTTGTCATGGCCCCTTTCCAAAGCTGGTGTGGGAAGGACTCCGGAACCTGTCCTCCATAGCCTTTGCCAAAGAGTACAAAGGAAAGAAGGCTCTAGTTCAGTTCCAAAGTCAGACCCACACTTATGGGCTTGGTGGGAGAATAGAAGGACGAGTGTGATTTGGGACTAGTGCATCCTAGAAGATGCAAGTCCCACTGAGCCCTTCATATTCTCATCTGCTTCCCAGAGTTCCTTTCTCAGAGTGGTCCCAAGGTGGCTGAGGAGAGCCCAAGGCCTTCCACCCCAGGAACTACTGATGAGTTTCCAGTTTTGTTTTCCCCATTCACCTGGAGGCTTCTGGAAAGGAGATGACATCTCACTCCCTCTGCATATATCTTGGCACACAGCTAGTGCTCATTAAATGCTCACTGAGTTGGATTAATGATAGAGCTTAGAAGCAGTGTCTGTCTTTTATAACTCCCACTGTCCCATGCCTAGGACACAAGTTAGGGCCAGGGTGAATAAGCAAAGAACAGTGTTTCCAGCCTGCCTGGAGCTGGGCTAGAGATGGACCAGTAAGACACTTCCTGGCAGGCTTGCTCTGCCCTCCCTCTGATGGGGGACTGTCCATGCCAGGACAAAGCAGAGTGTGAGGCAGGCTGTGGAGATAGCCTCTGGATAGAAAAGCAAAAAAAAAAAAAAAAAAAAGTCATTTTTAGTGACCTACTTTCCTAAGATCCCCTTGGCTCCTGTCCCTCTTGCCTGGACTGCCACCCCTCAGCACCCAAGCTCAAAGCAGCACCTTGGCACAATGCCATTCCAGTGTACAAGGCCTGTCCAGAAGCACTTCTGGTCAGCTGGCTCTGGTCTGACTGAGTTGGGAGCTGAGCCTCAGAGAGCAGTGATTTGTGGGGGTGACCGGCTGGTACAGATTAGGTGCTTGATGACTTTGGAATGTATAAATGAATTAATTTATCAAGCTGCAACCCAAGGGGCAGAGGAGACACTGCCCTCTTAGGGTGACTGGCTCTGAGGAGTTCCTATTTACCCAGACACCTAGCCAGGCCAGCCCACCCTGAGCACTCCTCAGCCTTGTAAACATCAGAGGCCTCTGTGACCCTGGGTGCCCTGGGAGCCCTGGGAACTGGAAGCTCCTGCATGGCTCTCTTCTGGCTTGAAAGCCTGGCCCATGGGAGGCAAAGGAGCACACTTCCCGGCAGACAGGGCAAGGAAAGGGTCTGTTTCTGCTACAGGGCAGGGGAGGGCCCAAAAGAGCTCTCCAGAGGCCTGGGCAGCTTGCTAATGTTCCACTAACCCATCTAGCATTGAGGCCAGAAAGGCTCAGATCCCCGCTGGGGTGCTGGTTAGTGGGAGGCAGGGGGAGGGGAAGGGACTTTCCAGGATGAGGTAAGTCCCTGCAAATGAGGATGCCAAGAATAAGGAAGAAAAACAAAGGGGATTATGAACTCCATTTCTGTACCCCAGAGAAGAAGCCAAGGGGAGGCACAACTCCACCTGGCCTGCCAGCTCCTCAGGCTCTGAGATATCCTGAAGAGGCGATCTAAGAGGGGAGAGCTTATGCCTGGAGAAGGGAAGGAAGGGGGGCTCCTGGGTCAGCCTCTGGGCCAGAGGCTAGAGCAGGAGTCTCGCTGCCCACCAGAACTCCCCAGTGGAATGTTCTCTGGCAGCAGACATGGGCTTTCTGTTAAGAACCTGCCAGGGAGCAGCAGGGGCTGGGGAGAACGTGTACTAGCCTAAAGGCTCTGGCTGCCTCTTCAATGAAATTCTCAAAGCTGGCAATTCAGACAATTAGCTGGGTGTCCTCACAAGGACAGAGGTGAGGCAGGGGATGGTGATGTTTTGTGGAAAGAGAAGAGAAATGAAGTTATTTAACATTCCCAGAGGCTCTTCGCCCTGTCTATCCCTGTACCTCAGAGACCAGCCCACAGAATGCAGACACACATATGCAAGTGCACATGCTTGCAGGCACATGCTATGGGAGACTGGCCCTGCTGTGAGAGAGAAATCAAGCAGTCTTACTTCCTCTGGAGAAGTCAGATCTTCTAAGTCCTCCAACATTTTCTCTACAAACTCTTCAGTCAACAGAATCTGGGAAGAAAGCATAAGGCAGGCTTTTATTTTAAAAAAATGTACTGGTCTTTTTTGTCAAATGCCACGCTATGGATCTTTCTTCTGGCCATGGAGTAGAGATGAGCCCACTGATCAGTTCTAGGGAGTCAGAGGGGAGCACTTGAGGCCTATCCCTGACCCCCCAAAATCCCCATTCCTCCCAGAAGGAAGGAAGGAGGTCAGAGGACAGTGGGGAAGGGTGGTGAGGACATTTGGAGGGAGGATGGTACTGGAGCCAGAAGGGAGATGGAAGTTGGTAAGAAAAACTACTCTCTTTTGGCTGTTTAGGTCTCCTGGCATTTTGCAGAGCAGTAGAAGGGGAGCAGAAAAGCTAAGAAGAGCTGTTGCCAGTGTCTTCCTGGCCTGATCAGGTGATCAGGTTCACATGTTCCTACCACTTCCCCTCAACTTGGTAGGACAAAAGGAATTTGTCTGGCTTTGGAATACAAGCCCTGTCTAGAATCTGGAAATGCCCTAGAAGGAAGGTATATCCAAGAGTGTCTGAGCTGGAGTTTGGAGATTGTGGACTATCTTTTGTCACTTTACAAATGGGAATGGGACTCTCAACTTCTCTTTCCACCTTCAGTATCCAGGCTAGCTGCTAAGCCCTGGCCTGCTGGCCCCAGTCAGCCACTGAGTTCTTCAAGCCTTCCGAGATTCTTCTTCTCCAGCTTCCCACCTAGTGGCTCTACTTGATGCCTATTACCTCATGCTTTTGTGGTACTGGGGTATGAACTTGAGCTTGCTAGGCAGGCACTCTAAAATTTGGGCCACGTTACCGGCCCCATCACCACCTCACGCTTTGATGTTCAAGACAGTCTGGCCTTACTCTTTGGCTGATACAACAACCCTTATCCCCTAAATAAATTTTCTCAGCCAGTGGGAATATTCACAGGTAAAAAGGGCCTCTAATGTCAGGCCTTCCTCAGCCTGATGGGCCACTTTTTCCAACCCATTGCTCTGGTCAGGCTGCTGCGCTGAGTCAGGCTGAGCATGTCTGTCCTCTGCTAGATGCTATCCCCTCCTCTCCCTCTTCCCTGTTCTTGTCTACAGGGCATCCCCCTGGCTGTGTCTCTACCTGCCTCTCTAATAGACCCTGAGCAGCCTGGGCAAGGCATAAAGGAAGGACGGCAATGGGGTGAAGGCCAAGGCAGGGCGCTCTGCTGAGGGAAACGCTCCCTGTGAGTAGGCTGGGAATCAAGAATTTGAGAAAATATCTATCAGGTTTCGCCTGGGAGTTGTGTACTCTGATAAAAACAAGTTTCCACACTGAGATAAAGAGAGGTAGCAGAGAAAAGGAGAACAAGGAGGGTCACTAGGGACCTCATGGATGGACCCAAAAGAAGCTGATGGATAAATAAGACAAGTATCCCCCACTGAGCACTGGTCTCATGCCTGTAATCCTAGCTACTCGGGAGGTAGAGATCAGGAGGATCCTGGTTCAAAGTCAGCCAGCCCTGGGGCAAATAGTTTGCAAGGCCCTATCTCGAAAATACCCATCACAAAAAAGGGCTGGTGGAGTGACTCAAATGGTAGAGTGCCAACATAGCAAGTATGAAGCCCTGAGTTCAAACCTTGGTACTGCCAAAAAAAAAAGAACCCCCAAGTAAGAAGAAAAACCACCATCATACCAGGTACTATGCTGACTGCTCAGCCTCCTTACAGATGAGGAAAATGAGTCACAGATAGGTGTCATAGCCCATGCCTAGTGGAGCTGAGACAAGACCACATCCCAGTCGTGTCTGGGTCTGAAACTTAAGTGTCTAAAACACTGCTTCTGAATCCTGAATTCAGGTCCAAGACATTTTATTCATGCATTCGTTCTTCTGAGGACAGGCATAAAGGCAGCCCATTTCCCAACCAGCTAGCAGCTTCCTTGGCTGACAGGACCCTCCTTCCCAGTACAGAAGTCCACAGTCAGGAACAAACTGCTGTGACCACTGCCCCATGCCTCCTCAAGAAAGTTTTTGTTCTAGGAGCTCAAGCCTTAAGTGGGGCCAGGGACACAGCTTAGAGTAAGAAAGAGGATAAAGCCAGCTTGGACCAGGAGACTGTAATTAGAAGCACCTCTGCTAATTCTTCCTCCAGGCTCCCCTCACACCCCACTACTGGGAGTTCACTCTTCACAGATTGCAGCTATACCCAGTCACACTAGGCTGACCCTCCCTACTGGGGGGGGTGCTTAAACCCTACTCCTCCTACTCTTAGACCCCACCCCAAGGGTTACCACCCCCCCATCCTGAGTTTCTCCACCAGTTATCACCAGTCTGCTTGAGTAGTATAAAAGTAGTATAAAAGTCACATTCATATTTTTGTTATTTCCAGGGCTTGTTGCCATCTTTGCAAATGCTAGCACAAACACAAGCATACCTCAAATTTAGTTATATTACAATAGCTCCATTTCCACAAATAATCTGGAGGGAGGGACTTTCTGCTAGAGTGGTTAAATAGGTCTGGGACTACAACTAATGCTGGGGATGAGATTGCGAGGGCAGGGGGATGGAGGAGGGTAGTTTACACGGATGGTGGCCACCCAGTGAGATTCCAAACGGAATTGTTTTTTAACAAGAGGAAAGGTAATGCCACCAACACTGAGTTTGGTCCTAAACTAGTTTCTCTGACAAAGGTCTGGAATTGGTGCTGGGAAAGGGTGGGTTATAGAGGTTTTTAGCATAGCTACCACCAAGTGCAGTACCATCTGTGTATGGACTCATTTTATACTCAGTTGGGGGAAAGGAGGGCAAGACCCAAACAAACTCTCTTCCATTTTCATTTTTGGTGATTTGCTGGTTTCTGCTGGAAACCTCAGATTATTTAAGAAGAATTAAAGGGGAAAAATAACACACAAGATATGCATGATATTAAGGGTGACATTCTCTGCAAAGAAACACGACAGACTGTCATAGCTCTAGTCACCTAATTTAATTTCCTTTGGGAGTTAAACCTTAGAAGCTTGGATTGAACAAACAGGCCCTGTTCTTTGTATATTTCAGAGCTGGAGCTGAGAATGTTAACAGATCTTGTCAACAGGACACTGAAGATAGACAGCTATGATGGAGCAGCTTCTGGGAGCTCTCACGAGGAACAGACTTGCTGTTGTGATGCTACTGTGGGAAAGCCTGTGCAGGTCTGGGGCTTGGAGCTCCTGAAGCTCAATGGGTCCCCATGGAGCTGCCTGGCTCTGCCACAAATAATGGGAATGGCTAGGATGGTGAAAGTGATAATGGCCAATTGCAGGAGCAGTGCCTGCCCCTTGAGCAGACACTGCTAGGTGCTTGATTTGCATCATTCCATTGAATCCTCTGACCATCTAGCAAGGGAAGTGACTTTTGTCCTCACTTTGCAGATGAGTGGGTGCTAAGAGGGAGAGGAGACAGTTTTCCTGACTTCAGAACAATGCCTGACCAGATGGTGATGGAGGATGTTCTTTTTTGGGGAAGGCACCCCCAACTCTAGAAGCCTGGATTCTCAGGGCTGACTCTCTCCTCTGACGGGGAAGGTTTTCATCAATAGCCTGGAAAACCAGCAATCCCAACCCCAGTCAGCCATACGTCTCCTGGCCACCTGCCACCTGCTTAGTTCAACAGGGCTAGAACTCCCAGTGTCATACGTAGCTGCTTAAACAACAACAAAAAAACCCAAACAAACAAGAAACAGGCTGATCAACTGGAAAGAAAGGCAAAACTATGCCCCAAGATGTTTCCAAGTGGAGCTAATGGGTCAAACATCTAGACCAGCCTGGTGAGTCCATATATTTTAGCAGTTCTTCTAGGCTGGAGGTGTGGCTCAAGCAGAAGATTGCCTGCCTAGCAAGCTGGAAGCCCTGAGTTCAAACTCCAGTACCTTAAAACAAACAAACAAAAGAACCCCACACAACTCCTCTAGCCCAGAATACAGTAGAAATAATAGTGACAATATAATTGAACTCTTTTATATTTGCATAAAACACTTAAATTCTAGTGAGAAAGGAAAGATGCCCCAACCAATCTGGGTAGCACACTCCCCCTGTGAGGCTTTTGAAATATGGAAATGCTAGGTTTCCTGACCTTTAGAATCAGAATATCCAGGGCAAGGCCAAATCATTTGCATTTTTAAAAGGCACCCCAGGAGGGCTAGGGGCAGGGCTCAAGAGGCAGAGTGCCTGACTAGCAAGCTTCGGGCCCTAAGTTCAAACCCCAGTATCACCAACTCCTGCCCCCGAAAATCATGAGATCGTGGTGGGGGGATGTGTTGGGAAACAGAAGCAGAGGGAAAAGGGGTTTGGGCAAAGAATGAACCGCCTATCTAACTATCTAACTGGCTAAGTTGTGTGTGTGTGTGTGTGTGTGTGTGTGTGTGTGTGTGTGTGTATGTATGGGGGGGGCACTGCCCCCATTTGGGTACAGGCAGAGCTTGGAATCTAGGCCAGCAATTTACTCCAGTGCACTCACACTAGGTGCCATAGAACAGCCTGGCTGGTTGGTGGTGAGGGATTGCAAACAACCTCTCAATTCTCCAGATCCAGCAAGTTCTAGAAAGGAACCTGAAAAGTGATCTTTTGTCAGTGGCTGCCATGGGCAGGCCTGGCTGTGCTGTAGGCAGGGGCCCAGATGCTGAAGATCTGATGCTATTCAAACGTCTGTGGTCAATGATATTTCTGCATGGCTGACAATGCCCACTCCTTCCCCTTGGTGGGACAATCTACACTTTGTCCAGGGCCTTGTTTATGCTCATGTTGACACGTTGTTCTTGCTTCCCAACAAGTTTGGCTTTCTTTTTCCTCCCTTTCCTTCTCTCAGGGAAGGAAATGTGTTGTTTACAATGGCAGGGCCTGCCAAGGAGCTGTGCTGGCACCCATGATGGCAGTGGAGGAGGCAGGGATGAGCAAACTTTCCTGTCTGCTGTGACCCTTCCCCACACCCAGAACAGACAAAAGCCAGAAAACAGCCGGAAGACAAGGCCACACACACTCCCACTGCTGGGAGGGGCAAAGGCATGTGCTTGAGGGCAGTGGGAGCACAGGGAGGCCTCTAGGAGGCCCCACTCATTCATTTCCTGTTCTCTGTAGGTGGTAAGAAGTTGGCTTTGGTGGTCAGAAACAGGCTGTTGGCTGCTGGGGACACATTGGGCAGTATAGTCCTCTCTCGTAAGAAAGGATATCTTCTCCAGAACACCCCTAGACAATAAGGTCTCTAGGTCAGTCCAAGCAAAGGTCCAGGTCCAGCAGTGGAAGGAAAAACAGGAGATTAAAAGGGAGCTGCCTAGGGACTGGGCTGGGGATTCCCAAATTGTATTCTACACAGCAACTAGAGAATGCACGGCCTTGTCCCTGGGGCTGGGGAGAGCTCAGCTGAGCCCACTTGAACAGCTGCTGTGTCTTCTCTCCCAAGCTAGGGGCCTCCCATCAGTGAGCTAGGGAGTGGCTGGGACTAGGGGCGCCACCTGGGTGAGCTGTCAGACACCACACAGCTGAGAAAGCATTGCAGGGCCTAAAAAAACATTCTCATATTTGGTGATGTGACCTCTTTGTGACCTCTGGGATTGAGACTTCTCTCCTTCAGATAGCCTGGCTGTGGACCAGCTCTGCTCAGAAGACTGACAGCCTGATGTGAACAGGCCAAGGGAGAGGCTTGCTAAAACTACTGGAATAAGGGGATTCTATGGGAAGGGGCAGGAGAGAACTTTGGCAGGCCTTCCCCCAGGATCTGAAGACCCTCTTGCAAAGCTCCAGACTTGGCTGCAGGCTTTGCAACCTCAATAAGGGTGACACAGCAAATGTAGGGTAGATGGAGTCAGAAGTCTTCTCCAGAAGAAGAGGGACGTACTGGAGTAGACTCCTGCCTTTGTAGCAACTGCACCCATCCACTCTTCAGTGCACCAGCACCCTGTATTCCCTGGACTGAGGTGACAAAAAGTGGGTGCTGGCCCAGGAAAAGGTGGGTGTGGGGCTTGTCTAGGGCCACTCCACAAGCTCCAGAAAGGGATTCAGATTCCCTAGCCTTCTGCCTTTTCCTCTCAGCTCTCCTTTGTCACTATTCTCCATGCAGGGTGTCTTTACCTTGCCTTTTCCCCAAGAGATAACAGGCCTGGGCTAGTAGCCAGAACCAGGTGCCAAGGTTGGGAGTGAGGGCTTCCAAGGTTGCAGAAGGCTGAGGCAAGAAAGTCAGACCCACTCCCCCTACTTCGGCTGCAACTCACAGGGAGAGTTCAAACAGCAACCAAAAGAACACAAGTCCAGGTCACTCCATGTCCCGTATCTGCAGCATTCAGCTCCTTCCTGTTTGTCTGCCCCCAAAGTCCTGGGCACACAAGGCCCAAGGAGACACCTGGAAAGCTGGCAGTGAGTGAGAGATGAAGCAGGGAGCAAGGACCAGCCTCTTTGTGTTGGGCTCTCCTTCTCTAGGGGCCTGGGGCCCTTCTTGGCATAGTGGAGTGGGCGTTACCTGTGATTGTAAGTCTAACCCCAGGTCTCCAAACTCCTGGGGAGACAGTCAGCCCCAGAGGGAGACCTAGAGGCTGACAAGTCATTACAAGTCCAGGTTCCCACAAGCTAGGGAGCTGCTTGTGACTACAGAGGCAAGACCCTAAAGGGGAAAGCAGCAAGCAGTCAGATGCAGAAAATGCTGACTGCTCTCAGAGGAAAGGAGGGCTGGTGTGGGTGTTGGCTCCACTGCTGAGAACCCAGCTGGCTAGGGTAGGGTAGGAGGGTTTCCCAGAGCTCCTTGCAAAGGGCCTGAGAAATTCCTCGGTGATGAAGGGTGCATGCCTGGGAAGTGGGGCCTCAGCCAGCCTTCCCAGGAGCTCTCCTGTGAGCTGGCCCGTGGTGGACCACACTAATGAGCCCATAACATAGGCCTTTGATTAAGCAGCTCCCAGCACAGCAACTTTATTGAAATATGCCGAGACTGAGACCGGTGGCTCGTTCCCACCACTTCCCGGTTCCCCAGGCAACAGCCCATGGGAGGGGATCAAGTGCTGGGAGTCAGCGGGTGCTGAGTGCCCCAGCTCACTTGAGGGCTGCCAGGGAGTTGAGGGGGTTGTGGCACTGAGAGTGGGAACACCAGCAGCCAGGGAATTGGGACTTGAGAATTGGGGTGGGGTCCAGAAGGCTTCCTTCCAGATGATTGAGGGCCACATGAAATCTGCTGAGTTCCCTGGGGGCTGAGGTTACTGGGCAGCTGGAAATGCTGAGCACCACATCCCTCAGGGAAGGAAGATGTTTGAAGACAGAACACAGTACTCCAAGGCAGGTTCAGAGTTGAGGATGTGAAACAAAAGTGAGTGGAATTTCTTCTTGAGTCTGGGGAGTCCCTACTTCCCCAAGAAAATGTGCTTCAACCATCAAAATACACACACACACACAAACACACACACACACACTCTCTCTCTCTCTCTCTCTCACTCTATGAGGGCACTTCTACCAAGACCTGTCAGCATGATGTCATTTCTGGAATGATGACCTGTGAACTAGAAGGGACTGAGGTCTACAGACCCAACCTCCTGTTCTCAGCAGAGGCAGTGGTGGCAGCCTGGGATATGACTGTGGGCGGGGCAGGGCGTAGGGGGTTGGTGGGAGGCCCTTTCCACTTGTGCTGGGCTAATTTCAAATGTTACACTTCAGAGCTTTTGCTACAGTAACTACCAACACCACATGGACAGAAATCTAATGTTACCAAGTGGGACTTTTAAAATGTATTTATAACTTTATGGTTCAAAGTAATTTTGTTATGAAACAATGTAATAACAACAGTGGAAAGACTCAAGATAATTTATGAAACACAATATCCCTAAAGCACTAGCTTCCATGTCTACCTCATAGTCTGAGGAGTGTGGTTGGTGTCTTTTGTTTGCTGTTTGTTTTAATTAAGGGTTAGGATTTTGGTAGTGGGGTGGGAGGAAGGGGCTGGCCTGAAAGAGGAGGAGCTCTCTTCAAGGAGACACATACACAAAAAATATGCTCATATTAAGTGTATATATACTTTGCAGACCCCAAGACCGGTTAAAACCACAAAAACAGTGTAATTCTTTTCCTTTTTACTGTAAATCCATGTTCTCTACAACACACCACAAATAAGGCTTGGTCATCTTTTGGATTAGGGGTCAGATTTCTTTTTTTTTTTTTTCTCTTCCCATGTTGGGAATGGAATGGAACCCAGGGCCTCTACCACTGATCTATAGCCACAAGCCTCAGATTCCTTTTTTTTGGGGGGGGGCAGGGAGATGGTACTGAGATTTGAACTCAGGGCTTTGCACTTGCAAGGTCATACCTCAGCCCTGGATTCCCTTTCTTGATACTCCTGAGAGATAAAGTAAATCTTTCATTTCTTTCCCCATACCCAGCAAAGGAATGCCAAAAAGGAGTGTAATGGACTAGGCTGAGTGCCCTTTAGTGACCTGCACAGTGTGGGCACTGGAAAGAGGTCAATGGCTTTTAGCTCCTGAACCCTGCTTGCAATCAGCTCTGAAGCCTCCTCTAAGCAAAGGAGCAGAGAAAGAACAAAGTGCACTAAACAAGCCAGCAGGTTTCCGCTCAGACAAGTCAGGTATCCATCAGGAGGAACAGGATAACTGTTAGATTGATAGGGGAGGCTCTGGCCACTATGGCCTGCCAATCGCAACCTCAGGTCTGGGTACAGATGTCCACTTCCTAAGAATTCTGGTGAGATTTTCACACAGCTGCTGGAGAGTGGCTTCCACACATTGTTTCACCTTTGGTTTCTTGTACCTTGGTTTACCCAGGTATGGACAGTCTTATATTCCTTACACCTAGATTTCCACAGGAATCACAACCACCAATGGCCATGAGAGTGATCACTTTTTTCAGGTGATAGGGATGAGACCAGCAAGTATCCCTGGTACTGCCAGGACAAGCAGCAGCATCTACATTCCAGGACAACCCACAGGCCTTAGACGCAGAATCTAAGAGGCAGCTCACAACCAAGGGGGAGGGGAGAAAAGGAGGGGGCCTAAGCCACGGGGCACAAGCCACAAAGAGTTGCTGAGGGAGGGAGGACAGGAGGGCAAGGGAAGAGCCTATGGAAAGAAGGTAGAGAGAAGAAAAGGAGTCTTCTCACTTGTAACCAGGGTCCATGAGCTGCGTAAGGATGCTCCTCAGTGGCAAAGGCACCTTCCACTCCCGTGGAGACAAACGTGATGGCCATGTCACCTGTGATACTTTTATATGTAAAGTGCCGTCCATGCAGAAGCCTGCCCCTGGGGGTAGGAACATGGAAGAGTGAGGAATTGGGCCTAGAAACAGCCTGAAGCATAACAGGCCTGGCCAAGGCTCTGGGACTATGGGGCCACATTCCCTGGGGCAGGGTACCTGGCAAATGCTCCCCTGCCCACTAACAGGGGACTGTAAACCAAACATGTTCATTTTGCAGCACCTTCAGAGAGATGCCTCTGACACCAGTTTTCTAATGACATTGTTCCAAAGTGCTCTAAGCCAGCGGAGACAGCTCTAGATCACAGTTCAAAGGGCCTCGGGGGTGGTGGATGCCATCTCCTCATATACTGGTGAGGACACTGAGGCCAGAGAAGGAAGTCAGCAATGTGCCCAGGGTGAAGAGAGAGTCATGTCCCCTTTTGTTTAGAGGGTGGAGGTAAGTGGTACCTAACAAATGACTCCTAGCGCTTTCACATCAGGGCACTTGCAGAATCCTCTACCTGCTCCTGGGTTTTTCTGTAACATTTAAACAGCTACCCTAGGCTATAAGCATACTTTATCAAAAAAAAAAAAAAAAAAAAAGCTGAAGCCAAGAAGGGTCATTCTGAGGGAACTGTAAGAAGTCACTGTTAAACCCCAGTCTGGAAATACACCTGGGGGAAGGACAGGCAGGGGCAACCAATGGAGACACCAGTCAGCAAGGAAGCAAAACTGGCTCCTTGCTTTCTTAGGCGCCTGAGATTAACCCTACTCCAGGCCAAAGGCTTGAGCCTTAGCCTAAAAAAGCAGCTGGGGAGGAAATGGCTGGGGTCCTGTTCACTTTAACCACTTGCTATCTTTGTGCTGCTGCCCAGGGTGGTTGACCAAGGCTGGCTATCCTCTAAACTCAAGGAAGAGTGGGGATGGTTAACCATTGTCACCATCCTCCAAGGTTAGTGTGATTCCTGTTGCCTTCTTTGCCAGCAGAGTGAAGGTGGGAGATCCTAAGGGCATCAAGGAGGCCAGCTACAAGAGATCCAGCCCAGTGCAGCATCCCTAAGCAGAGAGTTGAGTTCTATCTACAGAGCTGGACTCTGACTCTGGACAACAGTAGAAGGAGCACAATTGGGCTTCCTGGTCCCTCAAGGAGTCTGCTGGGCTGGTCACTGAGTGTGAAGAACTGATTGTTTTTGCATGGAAAAAGCAGCAAGCAGGAGGCAACAGAACCCAACCCACCAGAATACTTTCCTTACAGGCCACTGTGACTGGTGACACAGCTACCCCTCACACAGGGCTTGTGGGATAGCAGGAGGCACCTGAGATTTCTTTGTCACTGAAGTTTCCTCAAGGGGGAAGGGCTAAGGGACAATTCCTGGACAAAGGAGACCTATTCCCTGTGGAGCCACAGACTCTGAAACATGCTGAGGAAGATCTGTCAATCAAGCAGCCAGACAGAGACCAATGTATCTCTGTGGCCATAATCCTTTGCCCACTGGGGGCTTCCACTGCCCTGTCCTAAAAAATACAAAAGGGAACCTCTTTCTAATGAAGATCTACAGGCCATTGGCCCCACTGCTCACAGACTTCTCCCCACGTAGGTTGCCCAGAGGCTTGGGTGGGGAGAACACTACATAGATCAGTGATATGGCAGCTTGGGAGTCCCCAGTCTCCCCCACAGACCCAAGATGGAGCTGACCAAGTAGCTCTCCTTCCTCCCCTACCCCAGATTCTGCTTAGGTTACAGGGTGCCTCCATGGGCAAAATAGCCAGCATAGGGCCTGGTGGCCCCTGGAGGGCTCTGAAGAACACGTGTTGGGGAAGGGGGGATAAGAAGACACTAAAGGGTCCCTGAAGCTAAGTTGGGTGCTGTGGGGCTGAGCTGCATAGCAGGACTGTCTTGGCTCACCTTAGACAGAGAGGAATGAGGGCTCCTGACTCCTGGTTGAATTTCAGATGTACACTCTCAAGCTGCCTCGTGCGGATCAGCTCATGGGGAATAATGGCCGTGGAGCTGTCACTTTCCAGGCTGTCTTTGCGGCTCCTGTGAAGCAAGCACAGGAACAGGTTTAACACATGGTGAAAACCATAGGAGCAAGATGGGAGTTTCTGATGAGCTTCTGATTAGTAATAATCATGGTATCTGATAATGATAGCAGCCGTTCTTCATTCTGTGCTTGCCAAGTGCCAGCTGCTGTGCCAAGCACTTCTCACTTACTGGCTACTCCTCACAATGTTCCCATGAGGTGGGCATACTGGGACTAGGGCGGCTGAGTAACTTGCCCAGGTTTCATAGCCAGTGAGCATGTAGAGTTGGCATTTGGTCTCAGGTAGGTCTGGTGCTAGCACCTACATCTTTGGCCAACAACACACTATGTTAAAGTCTATGCCACAGCAACTTGTTTTTCCCTCTGAGATAACAGGAACTCCTGGGAGCCCTTCCTCTCCTATTTTAGAACCCAAGACCCCTAGCTCTCCAAAGCTGGCATGGGAGAGCACCATGACCATAGAAAGGCTCTGAGCATGCCTACTCCATTTTTCTTTCTTTCTTTTTTTTTTGCAGTACTGGGGATTGAACTCAGGGCCTACACCTTGAGCCACTCCACCAGTCCTTTTTTGTGATGGGTTTTTTCAAGATAGATAGGGTCTCGCAAACAATGATCCTCCTAATCCCTGCCTCCTGAGTAGCTAGGATTACAGGAATGAGCCACTGGTGTCTGGCTATGCCCATTCCTTCTAATGGCCAGGCACTGCAGTGAATACATCCTTCATCTAACCAGGGAGTGACATAATCTTTACTGAGGAGAAGCTGAGTGCTTAGGAATCAGACCCATGGCCAGGCAATAGAACTGCACCCCCACCCTTCTGAGCTTCCAGGCCTCAGGAGCCCAGTACCAGATTCCTCCTGACTGTGGCCTTATCCACACTAAGCTGCCACGGCTGCCTCACATTCCCTCCTGCTAGCCCTTCACCCAGCTTGTCCCACAGCTGGGCCACTGGGTCCTTTTGCATTCTAAGATTTGCTCTTTCAAATTCAACTGCCCCCACTGACAGCCTCTCAAATCTGTCTCTGCAGGAAAAGAAGATCACCCACTGATCCCATTCAAAAGGCCGGATTCTGGTTTGGGCTGTGAATCTCAGAACAATTCCCCAAGTGTCCATCAAAATATAGGGTGAAGACCTCTAGTTATTTATCATTCATGTGGCAGGCAGGAACCACCCAGGATGTCTGGGCTGGATTGCCACCCAGAGGCAGGCCCCACCTCCTCAAGCAAAGGGGGATGAGCACTGGGCTTGCAGCCAATGAGGTACCTCATAGGCAGAGACCCTCCCACAGGGCAAGGTGTGAAGTCAGCATTGTCAGCAAGGGCCCTGCTGGGTCAGTGGTTTGAAAAGCTCCTCCTCCCAAGTAATGAGCACAGTTCCCTTCAGATGGTTTTCTTCCTAGGGAGGGTACATCCCCAGATTTGACTGCTCTTTCACAAAAGCAGTCCCTTTCTTAGGTTTCCCTTGAAAGTGCCTATCCCCTTGGCTTTCCTTGGCAAGTACTTTCATAAGACCAGTGAAGGAGACAAACACTATGGCTAGGGGAGTCACAGTATTTCAGGACTGGAAGGGAACTAAGAAGTTGTTTAATTTACCTCTTTCCTTTTCAAAAAGGGGACAAAGCATCTAAGGCCACAGGCTGGTCTGTGGCAGGTCAACCTGGTAACCTGTTTTTTTTTTTTCTTCCAGTACTAGGGTCTGAACTCGGGCCTCATACTTGGTAGGCAGGAACTCTACCACTTGAGTCATGTCCTCTACCCATAACCTTGAACTTCTGACCAATACTTTTATATATATAATTAAAGAATATTAATTGTAGAAAGGAGTTTCACTGTGATATTTCAATATATCCATATAATGTACTCTGATCAAATCACCTCCTTTATTACCTTCTCAACCTCCCTTCCTCTGACCAACTCTTTTCTACCCAGGCTGCTAGACATGCCTTCAGAGGAGAGTAACATAAAACACCTAATTTCAGCCAGGCACTACGGATGGGCTCAGGTGACACAGGGTGCCACTGGGGCCCAAACAAGCAGAAAACAGGAAAGAACAACAGCCATGTTTGTTGAGCACTTCCTCTGTGCCAAGCCCACTGCCAGCACATAGGTTCATTCATGGAATAGGCTCTGTTAATCTTTTATATATTTTTTCTTTTTCTTTTCTTTTTTTTTTTTGGCGGGATTGGGGTTTGAACTCAAGGCTTCACGCTTGTAAAGCAAGCACTCTGCCACTTGAGCCATACCTCCAGTCCAAGGCTCTGTTAATCTTTTTACAGATGAGGTGAACTGACAAGCTTAAGGTCAAAGAGGGAGTTTATTTTCTACTTTTATTATTTTGTGGTGCTGGGGATGGAACTCAGGGCCTTAAGCATGCTAGGCAAGCACTCTACCACTGAGCCACACTCCCAGCCCCACAGAGTGAGTTTAAGTGGAAGAGTCAGGTTCTTATGACCAGAAACAGCCATGGTCCCCAAAGGGGGCAAGGGTAGGGCCTGCAAGAGGATCCTACTCTCTGTGGCTCAGGCAAAATTGCTGATGAATAGCAGCAAGAGGTAGGCAGAGGGCTGGTAGAGAAGAATCAACAGCACACAAGGCTAGAGGGCTAGAGAGTCTCAAGCTGGAGGGAAAAATAAATTGTTGAAAGTCAGCTAAAGTCACCTTGGTAACTGCCACAACACACTCACCCAGAAAGAGGACATCAAACCCAACTGCAAACAGCTTTAAAGAAATGGAAAAGAACTTAATCATCTGAAGAATTAATGTGACAAGTGCCCACATTTACACCTCCCACCAACCTTCAATCATTTGAAAAAATGTACTTTAATCTTTTAAGAGAGAAAAAAATTGCAAAATGCTAGATCTGCAATCCTGGAGCCTGGGTATTTCCGGCATGCTGCTTCAATGGAAACGCGGCTACTCCACACGCAGGAGCCCAGCTTTTTGCTGATTTGTTTTTTCTGGACATCGATGCAGAAGCATGAATTATTTGTGTGGGCTGGGTGAGGTATTAAATCTGCAGCCGACACAGGTTTGCAATGTTTTGCATGGTTGTCAGCTTAATCTTAGTCATAAAAAAATAAGTAGTGTGCTCAGCAGCATGGCCTAATTTCTCAGCTGGGCTGTTTTCTCCCTATAGAAGAGAAGGTAGAGTTTTGGGGACTGGAAGGGACAGAGGCTTCTGGGGAGGTACGACCCACATTCACTGGGGACTGCTAGGGCCAGGGGGCCAGGGGAATGCTCCAGGAGGCAAATGGCAACAGCACAGGTTCTGGGTTTGAATTCTATGAGACCTTGGGAAAATGACTTAACCTTCCTTTAAACTTAAGTATTTTCTCAGTAGGAAGAAATATCTGTAAGGTCATTATACAGATTACATGAGACAACCTCTAAGAGGCTTATGCCTCAGTGTCTGGACTGCAGTAGGTACTCAAACTGTATCTGATTGCTTTTAAAGTCTCTCTGCTCCTTCTGCAAGAATGTAGATGGCTTAATAGAAACTTGTTTGCCTTTATCCTGGGCAACTACCTTTGGCTAGATCAGTTTCCCTGCTGAGCTTAGGAGAAGGGAACATCTGAGATGGGGTTTGAAAGAGCTCCTCACTCCTGTGGCCCTGGTCAACCACTGGTGCTCTGGGAAGACACGACAGGCCTGCAAAACTTGCTGAAGCCTTCACTCCACTGAGGGAGGAGCTGACAGGGCTGTCTTGCTTATACAGAGCACAATCCGCCTTCTTGCAATTCTCAAACCCCTAGCCCTTAAATTGCCCAGCAATTCAATCCATCTTTCCATGACAGACTTCTGAATCCCAAGGCTGCTCTCACATCCCATCAACGTTTTTTCTTTCTAGGATCTAGGGCCTCAACTTCCAACTACGTTCTTTACAAGGTTCTGAAATCCTCCATCATTCAAGTCACCCTCTCCTGGATTCATTTTAACATGTCGAAGCTACAGTGTCATGTCCATAAATGAAGTATCATGTGTGGAAATAAATACAGTATGTGGTCTAACCAGTGCAGATCAGAGAGGCTCTGTGATCTCTCTTGTTTGGGACACCTTATTTCCATTAAAACTGTTATCAAAATTATCTAATCTTTGTAACCTCATCATATTACCAACTGATACCACACTCCCTCTGTCAGTGAAGTCTTCCTCACACTTTCTCCTGCGGGCTGCTCTTAGATCTCTTCTCTCCTATCTAGTATGTACTGTTGATTATTTGGAGCTAAAAGAAGACTTCTGTGTTATCTGCATAGGGTTTTAGGTAGTTTGGATAATTTTGAGCTTTGACTCTGGCATATATCATATTGGCATCCTGACCTCACATTACTGACAAAACTGATTAACTAGCCTTCGATGTTCTAACCCAACCTTTGATTAAACAGGGAACATGCCAGGGCTAGGCAGACAGTCTGACAAACTGACATCATTAGTCTTTGGATACATTCATCCAGCTGATTATAAATCAACCCACCCTTCCCATCACCAGCCTCTTGCCCTCCTGGATGCTCTCTGGACATTTCTGTCCTACCTATAATAATGTCAGAACATTCTCAAAATGTCTTGTTAAACCCTGCTTATGTAAGGTGACAGTACTTCTTTTGTCTGCCAGGCAGGTAAGCACTTCTAAAGCCTGACTTTCTGACTCTCAGGGCTATTTCCCTTAGTGTTAAAAGCTCCTGGTTGACTAATGTAGTCCAGAATTATCATGAGAATGACACCAAGCTTACTAGTCTAGACAGTACAAGATGGCTCTTGGCATCCTGGAATTTTTGAGTGCTTCCAGTTTGCCAACATTCTTCTCTCCTGTTCCCTCAAGATCACTGACACCAGCCTCAAGATTCATCTGCTAATTCTCCTGATGTTCTGTAGCACAATACATGTGGACCATGAGATCTGAAAGCAGGCTTCCACCACTGCTTGTGTGACTTCCCAGGCTGATAACCATTTGTTTTCAGATGGAAGCATAACACAACTAGGGTAAATTTTGCTCTCTGCC